CATTAGAGTGCTATTTTTAATTAAAAAGAGCATTAGAGTGCTATTTTTAATTAAAAAGACCATTAGAGTGCTATTTTTAATTAAAAAGAGCATTAGAGTGCTATTTTTAATTAAAAAGAGTATTAGAGTGCTATTTTTAATTAAAAAGACCATTAGAGTGCTATTTTTAATTTAAAAAGACCATTAGAGTGCTATTTTTAATTTAAAAAGCATTAGAGTGCTATTTTTAATTAAAAAGAGCATCAGAGTGCTATTTTCAAGGAAGAATGCCATATTTAACTTTTAGACCATCAAACATGAAGAGTTTAAGGTGGAAATCAAAGGCCTATTTATTGGGTATTAATCTATATATGCTTTACAGCTAATAAAAGTTTGATTTGAATAAAAGGTTAAAAAGGTTAAAACAGCCGCGAAGCTCACTGAATTCAATATTTGTTGAAATTCAGGAATCATGGCTACCTGGACTCTTGCAGCAGTTTCTACTGTTATATTCATGTCTTTATACAGGTATATATATAAAAATTCGATTTGTATCCAATACACGTTAAAACGGCTGAACCGATCGGGTCCAATTTGTTTTGTGGTAACTTACACGACGGAGAAGGTTTATAGGTGGTTGAAAGTGAAAATTTTACCTTGAACAAATGTAGATTTAAAAAAACTAGAAATCTATTTTTTATTTTTTATTGTGACTTTAACCATTATTGAATTGTCAATGATAAAGTCATCTCCGTTTATATCTATTTAAAAATGCAAAATTAATGTCACCGGTTTTTACATTAAACACTTACACAAACAGACAAGAAAATGACAATCATGAAAATTCTCTTTTTTATAAAGATTTTGAACCAAGATCAACAATTTACCACGGAACAAAGCCGATGTTTTTTTTTTACCAAATCAAACATATTTATGTACTTTTAGGACGGAAGATTTTGCCGAGCGGTTAAATTTCAAAATAGCTCCACACTTTGAGTTTCAAGTTATAGCTGTGATAGGGATTTTTGTAAACTTTTGCTTCTGCTACTTGTGGGAGGTGAGACTTATTTAATATGTTTATATAATTGTTTTTTAACTTTTAGTGTTTCTTTAAAATAAACTGTTAGCGCTAAACCGATTGAACCCTGTTACCAGACGTAAGGCCTATTCTATGTCAGGCTGAAAAGCCTTGATCTAGGCGGGATCGTGATGGCTTACCCCATTTAGATCGAGGAGCCCACGGGACTTCCCTAGCTTCTTCAATTGAATTGAATTGAACCCTGTGCAATAACCGATCATGGAAGTGGGAATTTTGGCGGCCGAATTGGAAAAAATCTCTCAATCCTTAATAACCCGGAGAACCCTTGCTAGCATTTTAAAAACCGAGGTCGAGACTTTTAAATAATAAACGGTTCATCTCATTCTAGTCGGTTCAACCTTAGACGATATGGAGTTCAATTGTTAAACCTAAGTGCTATCCCGTGCAAATAATTTTTCATCAGAACTAACAACTTTATTTTTTAATTTAATATTTAGTTTGTATCCACAAAAGCGTGTAAAATTCAACCAATTAGAGTAGCGTATCAGAGGCCGGGAAATTTCAAATTTTGCTCGCAATTTAAGGAGAGAAATTTCATTGATCGAAATCTGGTAGGGATATCAAATTTGAAGGAAAAGGGCGGATTAAGCAGAAATTAAAAGTGTCCACAGTGGATATTCACATAAAGATTTCAGCTCGGAACAACTAAAAAAGTGTTTTATTTTGCCTAGATCTATGTTCTGGACGGATTTCTGTTCCAGAAGGTTCTACCCTGGTACAAGGATAATGTACGAGGTCCTAATCTTGAGTTTGAACACCTTGAGAAGAAACTAGCGAGCAATCCTAGCTGGCCACCTATAGGAGAAATATCTACCAACAAGGAGAAAGGTATTATATTGCTTGACAAATACAAACAGAATGAGTCCATATGGTAGTGGTTACAACTTACACAGGGTGTCCCAAGAAGCATGGAATTATATAAGCGAAATTTATCATCGATATTCTCTGATTATACTTATATCCAAAACAATAATCATTACTTAAAGCTTATTCCAAATTTAAAATTATTAGAAATGTATAAAATAATCGAAATTGCCTAAAATTCCAATAAAATTATTGATTTTAAAATGAAAAAATAACATATTACAATATTTGAAAAAATCTGGAGACGTGCAAATGTGGCAGATTTTTGTTTTATATTATCATTCAATATCAATATTTATTGAGATTATCAAAAAGAAAAATAAACTTCTCCTCATTACGTAACATTTTTGAAGGTTTTGTCTAATCTAGGTTCAACGGAGAAGTACCCCGGCTACCCTCTCCCTGATGTTGCTGCTAGCATAAACAGTAAAAGCCAGGTACTTAGAACATCCAAAATGCTCAGTGAGGTAGGGTGGGGGGCTGATATGAGCCCCATGAAATAACCTCAAAGTTGCAGAATTAACTAAATGACCTCTGAGCCCCGCAAAACAAACTCCTTACCTTGAATTCCGGCTCCGTCAGTTGATCTCAGTTTTTGCTTTGGCGTCTGTTCTGATCAACTGAATTGATTAATATTTGAAATTACTACATTACACTAAACTTCAAACAATTTTGGCTTGCACAGTGAAGGATCTTTTGATAATATTTTTTTTTTTTTTTTCAAGCCACAAAGGTGAATCAATAAGCGGAGCCGGAATATGCGGCTAAGAGGTCATTCTCCGTTCACATGGAGTCCGAGAACTCTCCTTATCCTTCATTTTTATTCTAACTTAGGAAAAAATCTTCAAAAATTTAGAACTTTTATTTTGTTTCTTATTTTATCCTTTTATGATCCGCCCTGGTGAAAAAACCTTTAGTTTAGTGTTGAGCCTGTAAGCACACACACTTCAAGAAAAGACAAGTTCTTAAAGAATCCAACCAAGAACATGAGAAGAAGGGACTCAGACGGATCTAAACTTCTCAGGTCTCAGGTTTCTACTAATAAGTTGTGTATGAGCTAGGACACTGCAAACTAAACAGAAAGAGAAGGTCTAAAAATTAAGTTCTTGCAACAAACTCTGATTTTTTATCCTTGAATCATCGCAACACGATGTCGTAGAACTTTTATATTTCAAACTATAAATTCTGTTAGATTAAATAGGCTAAATTTGAAATATCAAAGACTAAAACCATCAGGTTGCAAAGATTTAGGGATTATAAAATTTGAGTTTGTGGCAAAAACTCAATTCCTTTATTCAAAATTATTGGCACAACCTCGTAGCTCCTGTAGTTTTTACGCAGTATGAGAAAACAAATTTAATTTACATTTATATATATATATAATATATGATTGTGGTTAAATATTATATTTTAAGTGAAACCTGTGAAAATCCTGAATCTACCCCTGTTCATATTACAAAAAACCAGGTGAAAGAAACATTGTGCTTGCTTATTTCGAATACCATGCTTTCCCAAGTAAAGTTTAAAATTCGAAACAATATTTTAATGTTTTTAGATATCAGAAAATCTACCAATACACACAGCAATAGAAGAAATGGCAAAACAACACGAGTCCAATTTGCTTTCAGGTTATTCCACACATGTCAAACCATTTAAACTACAGTTAAACTCGAAATGAAAAATTATAAGATTATATTTTAAAATAATTGGTTCCGACTTTTATGTAAATGAATATTTTTTATTGATCTAACCCCGTTCTTAATATTAATAAAAGTTTTAATGTTGTAAACCTAAGATGAATTCATAGTTTAAAATATCTAAGAAAATAAAAGTTCGTGGCAAAGACTCAATTTCTTTCTTCAATTGCTTCTCCTTAAAAAATAAGAAAATTGAATTCTTAAATAAAAAAATGCTTTTTTTGTAGATCCGTTAAATTTGTCCGGTGACAGGTTGGAGACAGCCTGCTAAACTTCTATTAGTTCACCATCTTCATAATGTAGACAGCGACAAAATATTTCGTTCGTCTTTAAAATGGAGAAAGATGTGAAACAGTTTTCCAGCGGTATAATGGAAAAAGCCTGCTAAACTTCTTATAGTTCTCCATGTTAAAATAGAGATAAATTGAAAGTTTTTCAGTTCTCCATCGTCAAAATGGAGACATCATGCAAGTACTACAGTTCCCATGCATAAAATGGAGACAGCTAACTATAAACATTACATATCTCCCGCAATATAATGGAGGCATCCTGCTAAATATCAAAATTTTTAAATAGAATACTGGCGACACACTTTGCAATTTATTTATTGTTCTCCATCAAAAATGGAGAAAGTTTAATAACATGAAATTGCTCCATTACTTTGTTACATTTTCTGTTACAAATTTTGAACACTATTTCCTAATAGATTTAAGGGTATATTGTTAATTATAAAATATAATATATAGTTTCTAAGGGTAAAATTTTACAATTGTTGGTCAATCCTTAATGATAAGCATGATAATTATATAGTTTATTGGATAATGTTTAATCATACGTATATTAAATAAATGTTTTTTAGATAATTATTCTTTTATTTAGTGAGGTGAACTTTTAATTTAATGAGTAAATATATCTATATACTTTGCTTGTCTGTTCGACTGTTTGTTTGTTCGTTTGGTTGTAACCGATAAACGTTAAAACGGCTGAACCGATCGGGCCCACATTTTTTGTGGAACCTCACATGATAATCTAAGGAAAGATTTGTATTGGAACAAAAAGGATAACAGAGAAATAATTAAAAGTTAAAAAGGCTCAAAGTGTCCTAGAAGCCCTTGAAACCCAATGTGTGTTTAGAGAAATATTTCAGAAGATTATGACAAACGTTAATGATATAAGTAGAAGTCCAAATAACTCAACATCCAAATATTTGGCTAACAATCTAGTATAATGATCTTTTAACTCGCCTCTCAAAATATTTCTATTAAATTCAGATGATGTGTCAAAAAAGAGAGACGATCCATTAAACTTACAAAAACTAAACCAAATTAAGAATATTTGCGTGATTCTACTAGGTTCCTTAACTAAAGTTTGAGCCACATTGGGAAATAGCGTTATGATCGAACATGGACATAATTATACAATTACAATTATATAACATTTCCTCTCTATACAATTACAATTATACAACATTTCCTCTCTATACAATTACAATTATATAACATTTCCTCTCTTTGCAATTACAATTATACAACATTTCCTCTCTTTACAATTACAATTATACAACATTTCCTCTCTATACAATTACAATTATACAACATTTCCTCTCTATACAATTACAATTATACAACATTTCCTCTCTTTACAATTACAATTATACAACATTTCCTCTCTATACAATTACAATTATACAACATTTCCTCTCTATACAATTGCAATTATATAGCATTTCCTCTCTATACAATTACAATTATACAACATTTCCTCTCTATACGATTGCAATTATACAACATTTCCTCTCTATACAATTGCAATTATACAACATTTCCTCTCTATACAATTGTAATTATATAACATTTCCTCTCTATACAATTACAATTATACAACATTTCCCCTCTATACAATTACAATTATACAATATTTCCTCTCTATACAATTACAATTATACAACATTTCCTCTCTATACAATTACAATTATACAACATTTCCTCTCTATACGATTGCAATTATACAACATTTCCTCTCTATACAGTTGCAATTATACAACATTTCCTCTCTATACAATTACAATTATACAACATTTCCTCTCTATACAATTACAATTATAAAACATTGCCTCTCTATACAATTGCAATTATATAACATTTCCTCTCTATACAATTACAATTATACAATATTTCCTCTCTATACAATTGCAATTATACAACATTTCCTCTCTGTTAATTATCAAGAAGTAACAATTTTATTATTCTATCAATATCTAAAAAAAGCACAGAGAAAATTAAATGCTTAGAAATTATAATAATGAATACTTAATTAGATTAATTTTATCTAATCATCATCAATTTGATAAGATGCTAAACAAAACAAAAAGTTATTGGCAACCATGGAGCCAGGATTTCTGCAACATCTCTTCTTTATATTGTTTCTCTTCACAGAGTTTTGGGTTAAGGTCTGCTTATACGCCTTGGATTTCAGAAAGCCAAGAAGAAAATTTTAAGAGGGTTCAGATATACGTAAAGGATAAATACCTCGGTATTTTCACTTCAAAACTTGGGATTTTGCTTCAAACTTTGGGATTTTACTTCAAACTTTGGGATTTTACTTCAAACTTTGGGATTTTACTTCAAACCCTAAGAGAATTGCTCTAAATCCCTAGGAAATTATTCAACCAGGGATTTTACTCTACACTTTGGGATCATTTTTTCAAACATTGGTATTTTACGCCAAATCCAAGGAATTACTCAAATCGGGATTTTACTCCAAACATCCAGATTTTAATCCAACATCTGAATTTTAATCCAAACATTGGGGGTTTTTACTCCAAACCCTGGGATTCTACCCCAAGCCCTGAGATTTTACTCAAACCCTTGAGATTTTACTCAAGCCCCTGAGATTTTACTCAAGCCCCTGAGATTTTACTCAAGCCCCTGAGATTTTACTTCAAACCCTGGTTTTTTACTTCAAACTCTGGATTTTTACCTCAAACCCTAGTTTTTTACTGAGAACCCTGGATTTTTACTTAAGACCCTGGTTTTTTACTTCAAACCCTGGATTTTTACTTCAAACCCTGGATTTTTACTTCAAACCCTGGTTTTTTACTTCAAACCCTGGATTTTTACTTCAAACCCTGGATTTTTACTTCAAGTTCCTCCAAACCCGTGGTCGTAAGATATTAATCAAACAGGAGTTTTACTCAACACTTTACTCCAAACCCTAGAAGTTTACTTCAAAGTTAAACCCGGGGAATTTACTCCAGACTCTGGGATTTTACCTAAAACCCAACCTTGGTAGAAAAACCTCCAAGCCATGAGAATAGTGTCAAACCCCTGAGATTTACCTTGAAACCCTCCCTGGGATTTAACTCCAGCTCATGCGATTTAAGTTAAATCATTTAACCAACGAGGTTATAGTATAGATTTAACTCATAACTATGGAATTTCACTTTAAAACCTGGTTGTTCTCTCCAACCCCCTGGATTTTACTTCAAACCTGGACTTTACTCATTTCTGAAACCCTTTGTATTTTACTCCAAACCTTTGTACTTTACTCAAAACCCAGGGACTACACTCCAAACTTTGGGATTTTACTTCAAACTCTGGTATTCTAATTCAAACTCTGGCATTTTACTTCAAACTCTGGTATTTTACTCCAAACCCTGGTATCTTCTCAAACCCTGGTATTTTACTCCAAACCCTGGTATTTTAATCCAAACCCTGGTATTTTGCTCCAAACCCTGGTATCTTCTCAAACCCTGGTATTTCACTCCAAACCCTGGAATTTTTACTCCAAACCCTGGTATTTTACTCCAAACCCTGGTATTTTACTCCAGGCCTTGGGATTTTACTCCAAAACCCTGGTATTTTACTGAAAACACTGGGAACATTTCTCCAAACCCTGGGATTTTACTGAAAACCCTGGGATCATTACTCGAACCTTCCCAGATCTGCTTTCCTCTCTTCAACTTCGACATAAAATACTTCAAAATTGCGGATATCAATAATCCTGTTTCTTGTGAGGTCCAATCAAAATCCTTGAATATAACTAATTGTTTAAGTATAATATTTAATCAATAGAAACTGTGAAAACTTGAATTAATTAAAGTTGTTCAAGTAGACCTGGAGAACCAGAGTAATAAACCTGGAAGATATCAAGGATTGTTTTAGTCTTGAATAAATTAATGCAACATCATCTTCAAGATAATTAATCATTGGACAAAAACAAAGAAACTGATCACTCGTCTCTAACTCTAATCTTCACATCCGGAAGTCGTTGACGTTTATGTTTATTTAATTTAGTTTCATGGCTAATATTTTTTTGTTATAATACTTTTGTTTATCAATTTTGATTTTTATGAAACATATGCTAATTTGCTAAAATATGTCGTCTTCCTATTCTGCAGTTTTCTGGTTTTTCTCTCAGGACAGATTTGTCAAGATACTTTTCGCGAACTCATGTTTATTATTAGATTTTTATGAAACTAAAAAATTAATTCCAAAAAACATTTAATATTTTTCGATTTTTTTTCTATAGTGATAACCCGAAAACAATGGAATAGAAAGACAACATTAGTAGCAAGACCCAGGCCTAAAGCTATAGGATTTTTTCCCCTGAAAGCTTCAAAAAACATCGAAATTTATACCTAAAGGCTAAAAAAACTGGGTTTTCAACATGATGCATATTAGTATATCTTTCATAAATATTTTGCCTGCATTGCAAACTGTATACCACCAAATAAATTTTTCTATGCATTTCGTTCACTTTTTTTCAATATTTTTTAACCTAACAACATTAGACCTGCAAAAATATTCTTAGGATTGTGTACACGCAAATCTTGGTTTTTTTTATGACCAGTAATATTTATCTCCGACATCTTGGACAAAACCCATGTTTTAGAATAAACCTGAGTCATTAAAAAATATAAAGTTATCATACTAATTTGATCCATCTTATCTGGGTAAAATATAGGCAAACAATTTATAAAGGAGTGGAGTCCTTGCCACAAACTCTCATTTTCTAATCTTTATCTTTTCAACCCAACCCGTAGACCTTAGACATTACAACCTATACATTCTGCAAGATCAAAAATCTAAGTTTGAAATATCAAAGGTTTACATTATGAGGATGCAAAGGGGATTATTAATTAAATACAGTTGTTATTGTAAAAAAATTGAAAAGATGAAAGACTATAAGTTTCAGAAAAAATATCAAAATCCGTTTTTGAACACGAATTTTCATTTAACTAACAAAAATGATAAATCGGAGAGGAAGTTAACATCTTTTATCCGAATGATGATTTAGAGATACTTTTTTTATAAATAACTATGTTCGATTTTCTTGTCAATTTATTTATAACCAATCTTAGAACAAATTAACATGATCTAGTACAAAGTGTTATATGACATATGTACATATACTTTACTACTGTAAACAATATTTATGTACACTGTTGACTGTACAGTTAACAAGGTGGTTTAATAATTATTTTTGGTTTTAAGTACATGTACCGGGATTTCAGAACAAATTAAAGCTGATGCGTAGTTATAATACAAAGTAAACAAATTTATATAAATAAGTCAATGCATAATTTTCAATTTAAAGTAAGTGATCTTTTTCCTTTTAGAAGTGGGGAAAAATAGTTTTTAAGGAACAGTGTTCCATTTAAAAAAAAAATTTATCTAGTATATCTAGTATATCTAGTATATCTAGTATATCTAGTATATCTAGTATATCTAGTACATTGCTTAATTAATTTAAATAACAAAATTTAAAAGCAAAGCAAAATTAAAAATACATTTTTGCACTCATGGTATTTATTTTTTTTGAGTCAAAATTTATCTTTTTCAGCAAAAAAGATTGTGACTGAACTAAGAATTGGGACTACGTGAATATTTATTACCTATATTCAGTGAGGTTACCAAAGTAAGAACTTCTAATTGCGGCTACTTATAGCGTACAACAAATCATTATACATACATAATTAACGATGTATATATATTATAATCTCAAACATCTTCTATTAGGAAGTGTTTATGCATAAATAATTGCAATCAATAGTTTCAGATCAACACTGTCAAGAAGACAAGCTTGCACAGCTGATATTTAAAGGGACTATATACTTAATTTTAAGATACCCCCTATTTAGTGAGTAGCATGTACGATTTCTAACGGGGGTTTTAAAACATTTTTCTGATAAAGGATGACGGAAATATCCCTATTTTTCAAGCTGAAAATTGAGTGCTATGGTACTCTAGTTCCCGGAATTAAATTTTCATCTGAACAAAATAAAGAGCTGATGGTCAGACATCGGACATGTCACTCAATTAATGGAGGTTACTTGAAATTACCTCTACAGTCCATTTATACACTACCTAACTTTCTTCTACGCTAACTTCAAGAACTATATTCTCATTTAGTTCATCTTCAACACTCATCTGATCACCATCTCGAGAAAACAAAGTTTTTGCAACATGGCGACGCGTCTTACTGGGACTCACACTCTGGGTTAGCTTAATAACTGTTTCGGTAGAGGTTGTCTTCTCGAACATTATCTCCGGGGACAGCGGGGAGTTGGTGGAGGTGGACATAGGAGAGGAGTAGAGGAGATGAGGAGGAGTTAGAGGTGGTTCTTTAGCTTCTTTGACAGGTGACAGGTTTATACTTGAGACAAATATACTCGAGGTTACACTACTAACACTAGTATCCATCGAGGATATACCGGTGTCTAGGGAAGATCGGCTCGAATCCATCGAGGTTCGACTAGAATCCATAGAGTCGGTGTCGAGTATACCAGACTCGGCACTTATTGACAGTTTTTGTAATCGAGCAGTGTACTCGTGAGATTGTTGGATTGAATCCGACAATTTGGAGATGGAATTAGATCTAGATCGGGACCGACGAGATATAAACGGTCTTGAACCAGTGATGGTAAGATCGTCTGAAAAACTGGATCCCTGAGAGGAGATACTAAGACGATCAACGGACGATCGTCCACTTGGAGGTTGCCGACGCACACAGTAAAGTCCCCGCTCTAAGGATGATCGATTAGATGAGGATTGTGAGTTCAATTCTCTTAATCTTAGTTCCGACTCCAGGTCCAGTTCTGCACTCATCTCTGGTAGCCAGGATTTATGACCATCCATCCTCTCCACCATATCTCCATCTTCTCCGTCCTGAATTATATAGCAGTCGTCCCACTCCCATGGATCCAGACCTGAACCAGCAAATGATCCAACCTCGTCTCCAGACTCGGATACGTTGGAAGAGGAGATGAGGGGAACTCGATGGGATTTCATCCCATGCCAGCCATGGATCGGAGAATCCCATTCAAAGGATCCAGAATCTGAAACTATGGAGGCTTGCCTAGACCCGAATATTCCTTCTCGATCTGACAACCCGGAGAAGTCTGTTAGTTTCCAAACCCCCTTGTTAGATCTCATTGTTCTCTGTAGTACCCGGAGATCTGGAACACTTCCATCTCTCTGTAGGTTGGACTCTTCATACTCTTCATTTTCAGTCCCGGCATACTGTGACAATCCACTCATACTAGACTTGGAAGCCACTAGTTTTTGTTCTGGAAGGAAGGAGATATCTTGCTCCAGGTTCTCACAGTTCAGCATTATCTTATTAATCCCGGAGTAGATTGTATCCAATCCCTCTGCCGTACTTCCTCCAAGGTTCGCGTTTAAACTAAAATCAAGATCTAGATCTGATGTTGAACTGTCGAATGAGGTTTCCCGAATTAGTCGGCGAACCTCCCTGGCATTTTGAACTAAATCCAGCATGCTCCCGCTCACATCTCCATTTGTCATTGATTGTAATTCGTTTTCAGAATCAAGGGAATCTTCACGACGCGTTCTCTCTAGATTGTTGTTTTCTACTGAACCTGGAGATTGGCACCGGGATAGAGTAACTGGGGATATTGATAATCTCTCCTTTCCGTCTGGAGCTCCACGGTATGATCCTTGCATCAGTCTATGGGTTGGACGATATTGATCTTTCAAATATCCAACGGGGGTTCCGTTGAACTTGGCCAGCTCATCGGCAAGATGGGATGGATCACTCTCGTCCGAACCATCTCCATCTTTCCGTTCACCACGACCAGGACGGAAAAATCCCGGGAGCGACGAATTAACTCGACAAATAAATCTATCGTCCTCTAACTCTGGGGTGGACGTTTTTTGACCGTTTGTCTGATTTTGAGGAGATCCTGAGTAGTTTGAACTACTCCCTGAGCTAGTGTTCTGGAAAATCTGATGCTTTTTTAACCTACAGGTTCCTTTTATACATCTAGGACAAGGATTAGAGATTTGTACAGTTTTATCCAGGTAGTGCTGGGTCCGACCTCGGGTCCTAATATCAAATAGAGGACGCTTTAACAATCTCCTCGGACTGGCCTCCAGAGACAAGGAGTTTAAACTGACATCATCTCCAGACTCTACATCAGCCTCATTAGAGGATCCTTCACCAAGACTAGGTTGAGGCTCAGGTAGGGAGGTCGAGGGACCGAAGTAGTGACTGTGAAGGAAGTAGGAATCCTTGGATAGGTCCTCCACCAACTCCTCGTCAAACAACCAGCTCCAGAAGGACCGGGGCTGATACCGTGGCGTCCTCCTCCTAGATCCCGGAGAACCATGTTTCCGTCCTTGTAGGAGAAGGTAGACAACAACCCCTCCAGCACCTAGCAGGAGAACTAGTCCAGGATAACGAGTCTTACGTAGCAGACAATTCCACTCCTGACTGAGCCGGGATACCTCCACCCCGATATTACCGGCAATACTGATGATATTCGTCTCTGTATTGCCATGATGTGAACAGGAGTGGGCTGAAGGAAGACAGGTCAGAGACTCATGGGTCAGATACCAACTCATTACCTCAATTAAACTCCTGTAAAACAGAAAAAGTAAATTTCTAAGAAATACAGGAGATATTTTAAAAAGAAAATAAAAAATTATGTTAATTTCTAACTTGTTATTGCAGTTTGTAAAAATGTCCAGTTTTTTTGTTGCGAAATCTTACAACATAAAACATGATAAAAAACTTCAGAAAACCAAAAATAGTGAGGATTACTTATTTTTTATTGTCATGTTTTATCGGACGAAAAAAATTAGTCCATTGTTTTAGTGTTCTATTTTTCAAGATTTAATTAACAATAAACTCGTCTCATTAGGTTTAGAATGTACGTACAATGTACATAAAGTATAGACACAGAAATTTTCACTTTACCGAGAAGACGAGAACCTTTGAGAAACAGAGCAAATTTAAGTCCAAAACTAAATAGCACGTCGTGCCAAAATAATATGTTATAGGTAATTTTATAAAACGTTAGTGTACTTGTCTTATTGCAATGCCTATTTCTAAACAAAATAAAGCTTTTAAAGAAAGCAGAAATTATAATGTAAAGTTAATTACAATTTAATTTATATTTATATTAAAAAAGATATTTTGGAAATATTCTAAATTTGTTGGAGATAATCCAGAAACCAATAGTGCTAAAATGTACAGCTAATTTAAATTTATAGCACGTTCATAATAGAATTCACCATGAAGTGAGTAAGAATGATAAAGTACTCGATAGTTTTATATAATTTGTAACATAATCACATACATCTAAGTACTCTCTTTTAGAATTAAAAACAAAAATTAACTCATAACAAAATTAATTCAAATCGAAGATTCTCCACGGGATGTTTTCTAATTTTACGAATAACCTTACTTGTGATGGTTTAAGTTAGACATCTGCTAGGTTCCCGAGATCGAGGTTGAAGTTACAGAGGTCGTCTTCATCTCCAACCTCCATTATCTAGATATAAAATAACTAAATAATAATATTGATGATTGTAAATTACCAGGATGACATCATGCTTCAGCATCTCGCATTATGCATTCTTTATCAAATTTTCCCAAGATTGTTTACTTTATAAATATTTCTAGTTTATATAGCTGCACAAAATCCGGGAATGAAAAACTGGAAAATCTGCCATATTATCATTTAACAAGATTAAATCTACGATAAATAAATAGATTATTTAAGAAATTAAGGTCAACTTCGAACCCCTATAGAATCGAGTATTTGCCACAAACTCAAGCCCAATGTTGCAGACCTTAGATATTTCAAACTATAAAATCTAATCCAATGTTGCAGACCTTAGATATTTCAAACTATAAAAAATAATCAAAGTTTGAACTATCAAAGGTTTCACCATCAGGGATTTGAAAATTTGAGTTTGTGACAAAGACTCAATTCCTTTGATTTAATCTTTATGACAAGGGTTTTATTTTTTTCCGACCCCCCCCCCCCCCCTGCCCGATGAACTGATTATCAGACTTGTAAATATTCCGATAATTAAGTTAAGATATTTAGTCTTGAAAGATCTAAATATTTATGTTAAGTGGGGGATACATTCTTCTAACAATTATTGCAATACTAAAGTTGACCCAGTAACAAGTTTTTAAAAAATCCTCATCCTTTATCCATTACTGTCACACTTGTCACAAAACAAAAATATTTTTTTCTTTTAAACTACATTTTGAAAATTGTTACTTTAAAAATCTTTATATTTTTCCGCTAATAATTTATGTTTTTATTTCTGTAATAAAAAAATGACTTATTTCCCCCCATAACAAATATGACTTGAACAATATACATCTAGATATTTTTACCAACGTAAAAAATGCTATTTTTATTCATAATAAAAGTCTTCATAATTCTTAACTAAGGCAATTTTTTTGTAAAAAATTTTCTTGCATTCTTGTATATTTAAGATACATTGTAACTCTTGCAGAAAATAGGTTTGTACTTTAAGCACATTCTTACGAGCAGATTTTTTTAGGTTAAGGAAATGCCCGAAACCCTTTGACAGAAATTCTTTCTAATTTTATAAAGTTTTAAATTAATTACATGAATAAATTTATTATCAAGTGAAGCCGACTGCCTGGAAATTAGCCTACTGCTTCTTATCAACTAAAGCAGTTTGACACACAGGCAGAATTTTAGAATTTTACTCTCAGCTTTCTGAATAAAATCACGTTTTCTCCCGCACTAGAATTTATGTATAACAAGTTTAAGAAAAACAATACACGCCTCTTTATGGTTTGCGAAAATGACAAACTTGAAAGCTTTATCCATAAGTTGATCCTAAGTTACTATCTTTATAGTTGTATAATTTAAAAAATAAAAATACATTAAAAATAATAATTATATATAATTAAATATAGCAATAATAATTGCAGTAACAATGATAAAATAGTAAGAAAAATTATAATCAAAGTTAAAATTATACTAATAACAATACTGTTGATCTCAAATAATCACATAATCATATAATGATACTAATTATGATACAAATTATTAAAACCTTCCAAGTTTTATATTTCACTATCATACAAACAAAAGCAACCCCCAAGTTTTATTGTTGTGCAAAAAAACTCAACACAATATATAGCTGACAATTCTGTATTCTTAAAATTACAATAGTCATGACAGACATTTGTCAATGCATAAAGATGTTGGAATTTTAAAGCTAGTTCGGGAAATATTCTGAGAAAAAAAAAATAAAAAATTTGATTTTCATTGAAAGTTCTGAAAAATCACCCTTTCCCTGGGCCGGGGAGGGGGATGGGGGCAATCAGTACCCCCCCCCCTTCCAAACTTTACTGCCAGTGCCCATCCCTCTCAGAATTGACAACAACTTACGAGGCCTGACTGCCTAATGCCTGTACGCTCGAAAAGTGGGAAACACACTGGCAAGGATGACACTAATTTATATTAAATTTCAGGGATAAACAAATATAAATAGTTTTAACAAAAATATAAATACTGGAATGAAAGATCCACGTATAAATATTCTAATGCTGGAAAAATATTGTGAGATATGTTTCTATTTAATAGACTAAGTATATATGAGTAAAGCCTAGACAGCCTGGGTTTAAGCAAGGACTAGGAAAGCATCTAGGATCACAAGGTTCAATGTATGGACTAAATAATACGGGGATTTAAACACCAATTTAAACACCAATTAAAAACCAATTTAACATAAACGATTATAATCATCTCATAAAAGATTTGCCTGATCAAGTATGAAATAGATCTCACTGTTTATAGTTTTAAGAACTGATTATTCTATTATGATTTCGCGCATTGATACTACATGAAAACAAACAGGAATACCAGTATTAACACTTAAACCTAGAAAAAAACACAATATCTTCCACAATAATGTTAAGATAAAGGTGTCAAGGCCCAAGAGTACCATTGTAAATCGGGCATTGCCATCTTTGCATGATGAGTCAATAAAATTACGCTTTCAGACTATACAGTCCCTTAAAGGAAGATAAATATGTCCACCCAAAAACTATAAAAATGGAATAGATTTAAATAAAATTCACCCCCCCCCCCTCGTCCCACCAACGTCCTTGATGTTTTCTTTTTTAACCTCGAATATTAGGTTTCAATATTAATTTCAATTTGAAGATCAAGATCTCGATCTAAAAAGAAGTTGGATCGATTTCAGATTTAAAGAAGATATAAAATTTTCCTTTAAAAACCCCAATATCAGGATTCATATCAATCATTTGATTAGCGTGAAAAATCGCTAAAGCTGCGAATTTTTAGAAGTAAAATTTCGCGAAACAAAAATGTTCAGTGATAACCAGAAAACTCTGGAATAGGAAGTCAACTTTTAGACTCAAGTTTTGACTTTAAATGAACATGAGGCACATCAACTGTGCAGTGTAAACAGACCCATTTCAATTTAATAACTTACCATATAGCGTTTTTCTTTGTAATAACATCAAATGCACTTTATTTTTGCTTAAATGTCGTCTTCCTATTACACAATTTATCACTGTAATATATTTCTGAATGAATTCTGCACCCTAGGGGAAAAAGGGTTCCTAGTTTTTAAATCAATACGTATATCGTCGGTTTAAATTAAATTGATTTATCTCTAGCTTGAAACTCTCTTCTTATATCTGTGAAACCTGTTGGTGTTAACCACAACTTGATCTAACCGAACTGACAGTTTGTATATATCTAAGATTGAAATAATAAAAAAATTAGAAATTTAGAGTTTTTGGCGAATAATGAATTCCTTTTAAGATACTTTTATATATTATCTGTAGGTTAATCGTAAAGTAAGAACAAAGGGAAAATGTCCCCAGTTAACATCAAGTTTAAACTTCTATATATAAATTTGGCTTGTCTGTCTGTCTGTCTGTCTGTCTGTTTGTCTGTTTGTCTGTTTGTTTGTTTGTATCCAATAAACGTCAAAACGGCTGAACCGATCGGGCCCAAATTTTTTGTGGGACATCTAGGGACCCCAGGGAAGGTTTATGAAAAAAAAAAATTTCAAATATTTGTCTCTATCAAAATTCGATCGTCATTAAATTTTTAAAAATTTTGAAAATCCGCGAATTTTTTTTGTTTTGTTTTACGATGTACACAAAAAGAACATGTTCACAACTAATTTAGAAGATGGGCGCGAAGCGCCCTCTAAGGCTAGAAAGGAGGGCGCGAAGCGCCTTGAATTTCTAGTATCTAATATTTGACAAATACATTTCAGGGGCGTCTAGAAGCCAGAGGGGAGAAGGATTTAAGACATGATCCAAAAAGTAAAGCTCCAAATTAAAAGAGATCGCAGAACCGGACAGAAAAAAATATAATAGGAATAAAAAAAGTTAAGAAAAAGAAAAAAATGTTTATCTAAGAAAAAATAAATTCTAGAAAAATGTCTAACTAAGAGGAGAAAATACTGTTAAAACAATTTATATCCTTTTTCTTTGTTTAACTTAAAAAGTTGATTTACATCTCTACTGCATGCACTACATGCAAGCCTACCTTAAGGGTACAGAAAAATTAAACTTTGACGTGATGCAACAAAAGTTAAAATAAACTGTCCGCAAAAAATCTTGCTCTCACAGAAAATAATCCTACTTCAAGGTTTATAAGTGAGAAAGTTGACAACCTGTTCTGTCCATTGCTTAGGATCCATTTAATTTTGATGCAGATCCGGATTCTGGATCCACACTAGAAAAAAAATGGATCCGGATCCGAATCCAGGTCATGAATTACAAAACTGTCGAAATAATTTTCTTCTTTTTTTCACTAAAACTTGATGAACCATTCAGAAATCAGGAAATTTTTATAATCTCTCTTTGCCACTTGGATCCAGATCCGTAGATCCGCATATTAAGGATCCGGATCCAGAAAGCTAAAATCTTTCGGATCCGGAATCCGGATCCTAAGCACTGGTTCTGTCAAATCTACTCCTACTCCTAGGTTTAAGGAGAGAGAAAGTTGAAAACCTGTTCTGTCAAATCTACTTTATACTTCTCTAATCCTACTTCTAGGTTTAAGAGAGAGAAAAAGTTGACAACCTGTTCTGTCAAATCTACTTTTTACTTCTCTAATCCTACTTCTAGGTTTAAGAGAGAGAGAGAAAGTTAACTACCTGTTCTGTCGAATCTACTTTAACTTCTCCTATCTTAACAATATGACAAGGAAAAGATAAGATGTTGAAACGATATTGATCTCATGCTTAAAGGAGGTCAGAGTCCGAAACTTAAGACAGGGTATTCTTATAAAACCCAGTATCGGAAACCGGGTTTCATGAATTAAGTTAAGCAATTTTGTAGTTCTCAATACTTTTTTATTAATAAGCAATAATATTTCATGAGGTTAATTTTGCGATTTCCATTCATTTTCTATTTCCTAGGAACATACGTGGGATGAATGATGATTGAAATTATATTAAAATATTCTAATTATAAATGAAAGTAACTCCAAACGTACTTGCAACTAAGACTTAAATTGTTATATTACATTCTTTGTCCCTTTTAAAAAAATCTAAACACAAATAAATTTCAACCTAATTGTTTAAACTTAAACAATAGAAATAATGGAAATATAATGAAATAATATAATGCCATTTGAAGAATGGTCTATAATTTCTTCTCTTTTATTTTAGGATTTTTTATAGAAGTAAATTTAGATTAAAAAAGTTAATGAAAAACTTTCTAAAAATTCTTGTTAATAATCTTACCAAATTGTTATTAATTAACTGAATCCTATTTTTGTTTAATCACTGGACGGAACAAACCTTGGACTGAGAGTCTGAGACTGAAGGGGCAGAGGGAGGAGCNAGGGGTGACGCGGGAATTCATTGAGCTAACCTAGCTGACCTGCATCCAACGACCTGAGAGTGAAATAAAACCAAATAATGGCTTTCTAACATTTTGATGTCAATGTATAAAATTGTAAATTGTAAATGCTACGATGTATAGAATAAAACGAAATTCTAAATGTAAGTAAAAATTGCGTTTTGATTTTTGAAATGTGATTTTCAAGAAATGGGTCGAAAAATTCTCTTTGTTGAGGAGGTTTTTTTTTTTTACTAAATATTGTCTACATTTTACAAAATGTTTACAAAGATTTCTCAGAACTTTTTCTTGAAAATTTTACAAATTCAAATGAGACCAACTTGGGAAACTCTAGCGAACAAAACTTTATTTCTCATTCTCAAGATTTTTATTTAGGAACAAAACTTTGATTTTTTTTCGCAAGTATTCTTTTCGTAAGTGTTCTTTTCCTTTATATATATGCATTGTGTTGTTAGGGTTTAAAATATGTTCTTTTCTCGTAACCTTAATATAGTCTGGAAAATACACGATAAATATATAATTTAAAAAAATGAATAATCATTCGAACAGAAGCAAACATTTTGAAAGTTGAGGATAAGATAATTAGTAGCAATCTCGTCCTTGTTGAAAATGAGTTGAATATGTAATTAGCACATTCTCTTCGGTAATAATGACGTTATGAATCTCAACAAGAAGTTAAGGAAACCGGATATAGGAGGAGGAGCGGAGAGGAAGGGACAGGGGCGTATACATTTGGTGAGGGGGCTAAGGGGGCTAAGCCCTCCTGAAAAAGCGACGGATATGGTTCACAGAAGAACTTGGGCCGCCTTGATAAAGTAAAAGGGTGGACACCCCTCCCCCTCCCTGGACATATTCCTGTATACATCCCTGAAACGGGGGAGGGGTAAACATACTAGCCCCCCCGGTACTCGGTAGATATATAAAGTCAGAGAATCATAGGTGTGTGTGGGGGGGGGAGAGGGGTGGAAGTGCTAATTTACTAATTATTCGAACTATCACCTTACACCTTTGGACGACAATAGATGAAGAGAAAATACATTTAATCTCACATTCTTTATAGTTTGCAGAATTAAGATTTTAGATTATGCCCTGTAAACAATACGTGTTTAAATCTTAAAACAAATTTAGTAGGTTTTAAACACAGTCAGATTAATCATCCTTAAATGTTAAGCCATAAAAGATGTAGACCTGGGCCATCAAATCAAATTTAGTGCTTTTTGTCTGTGTAAGAGACCCCCGTTTACCATGCATGTGTCAGTGTGCAAAATCTTTCAGTTACGGGCCTAGTTGTAAGTGATGATATGAAACCAATTATTAAAATTATGTGACACTAAATTTTTCAATTTTAGTAGATAGAAAGGATTTAATATGGTGGATCATAAAAAAATTCAAAGGTTAACTTTTTTATCCAGCCAAAAAAAAACAAATATAAATCTAAACTATTCAAATTTCAAGATTTTATACAAAGACTTCAAAAAATCAAGATATAGAACAAAAAGAATTGGAATACAACTGAACGGAAATGGGAAATTTTCAAACCTAAGCTGTTCTACTTATAAAACTGATATCAGAGATATCAAGACAAATTCTCACTAACACATTATTTTTTAGATGCAAAACTTGTGAAAAAGGAACAATTTTCAATGTCAGATGTCCCACCTAGAAAACCGTGAGATGTTCGAAGGTTTTATAACTTTTTAAACCTTATACAACTGCAAATTCTGTTGAAACTCTGTTCTTTCTGGAAGTGACAATTAGAAACTATAAATTATTGGAAAATAGATTTTTTAAAATGGGTAGTGGTAATTTCCTAAAGAAAGATTTTCGGACTCCCGCCCCCCCCCCTCCTCCTATAAATTTTGTACATGGATCTCTTGTGAATACTATTGATCATGTGGCCGCAGCGCCCGGCCCCCTAGCCAGTCCTAGCCGCGGCGCTCGATCCTCTAGCCTGTCCTAACCGCTGCGCTCGGCCCAAAAATGTCTAACCTACCCTTACCCTAAACTAGTTAAGCATAAATAATGATAACTTTGCTGAAAAGCTGAAAATTAGTGGTCATGTATAAAAATGATAGGAGGGGGGGGGGTGAGGTCCGAAAATCGTTCTCCAATGATAGACCCTGGGTAATCTATAGTCTGGAAGAATTTGATTTGGAGCTTGACAATCGATTAAATAATTTTCTGGATATTAAAAGGTAAAAAATAACAAAATAAAAGATTTTAACTGACTACAGTTTTCACGATATAGATTATTTTAATCATTTTAGCACTAATTCTTACCTTTTAAGGAGGTTTCTTCAGTTTTACAATTGTGTTTATATTCTAAAGTGTACACTGAGTCAGAAGACATGCATTCTGTTTTGCTGCTGCCCCAACGGTCTTCTAGCTGTAGTTGTATAATTGGCCGCTAGGTGGGGTAAAATGTAAACAATCATCTTATATCAGATCAGCTGATCAGAGACCGAATCGTCCCAAATTAACGGGCGTATTGAAGAAGACGTACTTTGTTACTCTCTATTCTCTTACGTGTTTGTGCGCTAGATTTCACCAAAAGTATAATAAAGGTGTCAGCACATAATTCTACTATGATTTCTTTTTGTTTTCGCCGAGAGGAGCCGTATTTCACCGTACTCTGGACAGCTACAGTCGGAGACGTCAGATGCGATATGTTTGCTAAAAGTACGGATGGGACGACTCGGGCTCAGATCAGCTGATCAGAGCTTTCTTTTACTAGTTCCTTATCAAACATCACTAGTATCACTAGCAGACAATTCCATGGAGATTAGATATTAAACAAACCCCCTCCTATCAATTTTGTACATGACCACTTTTTCAACAATTTTCATCAAAATTAGTATATATTTAGGGTTAGGTTAGGTTAAGACACTTTATTGGCCTGCGGCTAGGACCGAGCGCCGCGGCTAGGAAAGGTTAGGGGGCCGGGCTCTGCGGCCACATCGTCAATTATATCCATGTCTTACACATAAGATCCATGTACAAAGTTGATAGGAGGGGGGGATATTTAGCCAATGCTAATTATCAAAGATTTAACTAACAACATTTTTGAAATTTTTTTTGCATTTTTTACTCTGTACAACTTAAGGATTGATTTTTTTTATTGGTAGAGTTATACATGTACTTTTTAAATAACGATAAATTGTTTTATTTTTCAGATAAGTATTTATAAATGGAAAAATGTTGTTCGGATGAACAGACCTCGGAAACATTTGCAAACATGATAAATGTTATTGCAGAAAATTTTCAACTTATTTATGATTTTGTCGAGGCTCTGATCATTGATAATATACTGTCAGCTGATTGGAAGGATATTGTTCTAGGTAAAGAGGGTCTCAGATTTTATGAGGGGGGGGGGGGGCCGGGGCAAAATATGAGATGTGAGTTCTTTTTCTATCTAAAAGTCATACTTGACTCAACCAAATTTTCAATGTTTTAGATGCTAAATGATTATAAAATATAATAATGATTATCTACAGGGTTACTCACTAAGGATGATGTTGTAAAGACGACATAAAACTGTTTGCACATGATGATTAGAAGGTTAAAATAAGACTTCTGCCTTAAATATAGTCGCTAAATGGCTTTTTTATTGATTTAACACTGAAGAAAACAATACATTTTGCATGTAATATAAGGAAACAGACATATATACATTTTATATAGACGTCAATGGAAGTCTAATCCTTTTTGGGTAACCCTGTATATATATATAAAGTTGTAATCTCTGTTTGTTTGTCTGTTTGTTTGTCTGATCATAACTCGATAACCCTTTCGACCGACTTGCCTCAAATTTTGATTTGGGAACTCGAGAGAGCCACGAGAATGTTCTTTGCTTGGTTTATGAAGTCTAAGTTAAGTGGGTCACTTTTAAAGGAATAAAATCGCTAAAATTTTAATTTACGACAAGGGGTGTGTGCCATGTAAAGCGTGGGACTACCTATGACTCCCTTGCTCCACGCTGGGTTCCCAAGCTAGTAAAATATAAAGATGGCGAAGATTCTGGAGAAAATATTGCTAGAGTCAATTTCCAATGGCATAGAACTTGAACCACACCAACATGGTTTTAGAAAAGGAAGATTTACTGTAACTTCTCTGACTACATTACAGAGGGATTAAACAAGAAGAAACCAGTAAATAGAACAGGGACAGTATCAAACTTGTTACTTAAGCAGATGACTGCACCACTCTTAGCTCAGGACCTGTTATTGATCCTTTATGTACCAGGCTAAATAGATATCTTGACACACTTACTGAATGGTTTTCAAGAAAAAATTTAAAGATATCACCATCTACGCTGTTTACAACCTTCTCCAATGAAATGAAAATCCAACTCCCTATTTTTATCAATGGATCTTCCTACAATATAAAAGCCAAAGTTGCTTGGTGTCATTCTAGACAGTATGTTTACCTTTAAACATCATGCAATCAATGCTGTACATAAGCTTCAAAATAGAAATAACATCCTTAAACCCCAGGCCGTTACAGGCTGAGGTATGAGCAGAAAAGTACTGCCTACCACATATAAAGCTATTGTTGAATCTATCTTAAACAATGGGTGTCCTATATGGACTCCAGTATTGAGCGAAACGATCTGGGAAAATCTTCAAACCTGTCAAAATTTGGACTAAGAATTGAACTAGGGTGTGTCAAAATGACATCTGTAGAACACCTCCATGCAGAGGCAAACATTAAATATCTTCGCCCCAAGATCTCCAATAGTAATGACAAATACAATCAAAGAATCCTACTCAGCAAACATTCAACACCTAGTTCAAGAAGATGGCCTCAGTGATGATGGTCACCTCTATACTGTGCAGAAAAACCGACAATTTTAACTACCATTAGCCTTTGGACATACCAGGAGAATCTGCCCTTCATCTTGGTTTAGAAGTGGAAGAAATAACAGAAAAAGAAGAAACAACATAAAGATGATGAACATTTATTTTTATAAGAATTATACTTTTTCTCGCCTTTGGACATACCAGGAGAATCTTGGTTTAGAAGTGGAAGAAATAACAGAAAAAGAAGAAACAACATAAAGATGATGAACATTTATTTTTATAAGAATTATACTTTTTCTCCAATTAGCTCCGGGATACAAGTAGTAAAAATTTTTGTGTAAAATAGCGCTAATCTTAAACATATGATCTCCACATCCACTGCGACAACTTTTCAGCTAGAGAGACTGCAAGGTTTGATCAATAATCCCTGGATTAAGTTTCCCCCCTTCAGCAAAGGAATCAAATCAAGAGAAATTGATTTAATCCGTAAATACTGCACAAAATACAGATAACTGCTTAATCCAAGGATTCACGGTCAAAAGTTGTTTTTGATCCAAATTAACGCTCATCTTAAATTTGTGTTGCAGGTGTTCTGTTTGTAATTCATGCTGTTCTCATAATTCTTTTCTCATTCTCTCGATCTACCATCTACACTTTTTCAAAGTAAGTTTTCTATTTTTGGTCTTAATTGTGTTAAACAGGGTATATATTTTCTTTAAAAATATCCCCCACCCCCCTCCGGCCTCCACTTTTGCAAATATTTTCTTTTATTTGCTGAATAAATAAAATAAATAAAAATAAATAAACTTGTGGGTTTAAAGTGTGGAATCAGGATGAAAAAACTTGCCTTACGATGTCCAATTTTTATTTTACCGCCAGATCTTTAAAAATTAAGTTTTTAATTCTTAAAAATATACACCCCTGGCTAGAAATATATTATCGAAAAAAAATATTTTTATAAAGGGGGGAGTCGTATTTTTCCTCAAAAAGCGCGCGCGCGCGCGCACTTTTGCTCAGATTCCTTCAAAACCAAAAAATGCACATAATATACATAATTCTGAGTTTGCATGCAAAAAATCAGCCTCCTACGACAATTCTAAGTTATGTTTAACCACTGTTTAAATTTTCCGGAGAGTAATACGTTTTGTGCCCCCCCCCCTTTCCTTGTGCTTACTCAATCTATGTTCAATCAAGTTAAGCATAAAAATCACAAAATTTATTTATTTTATTTAGCTTTCTTTATAGTTATGAGCTTTATCCAGATCCATTTTTTCACAGATTCGCATCAAAATTGAAATTAACCCTTTACTGAAATAATAAGATGATGTTATTAGGAATGAATGAGAGAAAATAAACTACAAAATGTTGATTAAGTTCCTGTCTTCCTGTTCTTTTTGTCGTCAGTTCTCCACATCTAGTTCCAGCAACAAGGTTAAAAACTCAGAGGAATGGCACAAACGCCATATTAAGGTATTAAATATATCCTTTTATTAGAAATTTTGTCATAAATTCTGTAGAAAAAGAAGAAAATGTTTTTTTTTGTCAATTTACTTAGTGAGACATGAAGTTTTTATTTCCATCAATAAAGCTTGATTTTACTTACTTATTTTCTTCAGGACAGATTTGTCCAGCAGTCCCGAGCAGAGAACTATAGAGCTAGAAGTGCATTCAAACTATTAGAAATACAGGTTTAGAGTTTCAGGAATTGATTGATTGTCTGATTGATTTATTGATCGATTGGTTGATTGATTGCATCACTTTATCAGTTAGACATACTAAAATAATTTTATATGCATTGTTACGGTTAAACAGATCGATTAATTGACGGATTGATGGATCGAGGATTTGAAAGATTGATTTTAAAGTTATTTAATTTATGATTGCCGGAAGGATTAATTGTTATGAGTGACAGATGTCTTGTAAAGGTGATTTATTGATTATTTTGGAAAACGACTAATAAATGGGAAGAATGATTTATATTTTTAAAAGATTAGAATGATCATTTGAATAGATTGATAATTAATTAGAAAAATTATTGGTATGGTTGATGGGTTGCATAATGACATGAATAGATAGTTGATAAATTGTGTAAATGATTGATTTATTGTCTAATTGGATTCGATTGTATATTTTTCCAGGACCGGTTCCAGTTGATAAGAGAAGGGAACTATGTTGTTGAATGTGGAGGTGCACCAGGGGCCTGGACCCAGGTTCTAACCAATATTATAGGTAGCAACTAGCAATCCATAAACTTTCAATAGCTTAATCGAGATTTATAAATCATCCATTTCTGCAAATCAAAATAAAAGGCTAACTGTGAATGACAAGGATTGCTCAATGTTTATGAACTTACCAAAATTTCATTTTAACGGACGGAAATATTGGATTGTCGGATTTTTGTTTTGTTCAGAGAACTGAAATCGGGATATTGTTCATGCTGTTTTTTTATTAATATATTGAGTCATAACGACATCTGGAAATTCCAGGTTTCGCGGACTATTTTGTATCAAGTTTGCAATACTTTTATTCAATGAACTTTTTATTCAATGAACAAAAATCAGGAAGCAGAAGAAGATGATAGTAACGGAGATAATGAGGATGGTATTCAAACCCAGAGTATATTTCAGGACAAGACTATTAAAACTAATTTTCCCAGAAACCACCCTTGTCCACCAAAACTGCAGGAAAATCTAAGTGCCATACATGCATGTACTGTAGGAGCTAAGCTTAATCCTCACCAGTCTAATTTATCTAAAGAACAATGGGTTGCCATTAGATCATTGCAGCGTAAACAAAGGGAGTGTGAGATAATCATAAAACCCTCAGATAAAACTGGAGGAGTATGTGTTTTGGATTATGATCCATATGTAAAAGTGATGGAAAACAAGCTTGGTGAGACTTACTTAGATAAAACTGGAAACCAGGCACCCAAATACATTGAGGTGAAGGAGGACCGTTTGAAGAGGGATTGGGAGATTGTGAGGGATCTGGTGAGTGAGGGAGTAAGAGAAGGATATATCTCAGAGAAGGATGCTATTCTCATGGTTCCAGATAAACCTACTCCAGGTAAACTTTATGGTCTTGTAAAAGATCATAAACCTGTTGAAACCATTTCAAAATTACCTCCCTTGAGAGAGGTTGTATCTGGGTCTGGCTCTAATACAGAGTTTTTGTCAGCATTTGTTGATCATCACCTGAAGGCAGAGGTAAAGAAACTTCCAAGCTATATTGAAGATACACCAGATTTGTTGAGAGAAATAGAAAAGAGAAATGATTTGGGACCTCTACCTCCTCATGCTATTCCTGTATCCATGGANATTTTTATTTTTTGCTTATATCTGTTATATTATAGGACTAACTCCTGATGATGCCAAAGTTTTTGGCGAAATATATTGAGAAGAAAATGATATAATTCTAGTGCTAGAGAGTAGGGTTGGGATTTGTTTAAAAACGATCTAAAGTTTATTCAATGATTACTAAAATAATGCTAAGTTGAAGATTAAGTAATGATTCTTTTATCTGTTTAAAAGTTTGAAATGAATTTTTTAAGGTGGTAAGGGTAGAATAGTATCCTGTGATCTGCTACTGATTGAGCCAATTCCAGGGGCAATCACACTCTCTAAAACAGGGGTGTAGACTTTTCATTACAATCAAAATATATTATTAAAGTTAAAAATTGAATTTCCCTTTTTTTGCAGTATTTCAAAATTTGAATTATCTTTTCAGACACGTATTAAATTCTACAGAGTATACATCTAACGGAATATCATATTATTTAAATACAAAATAAGATATAAAATTGGTGACAAGATATTAACCCATTGATTTTTTTTTCTTGAAAACCAATTGCATTGTAAAACAAAGGACGTGATTTTTTTACTTCAGTTCTAACAATTTGAAAGTGTTTTCCTAGTAATCAAAATAAAACAATAAAATTCTAAGTATGTTTTATTTTAAGAACGGTCCCTCCATGCCTTTTCCACAAAAGAAACGAAATTTTCTTGCAATTCTATTAATTTTAATTAATTAAGAATATCTAACACCTTTTAGATTTTACTCATCCTGACTCTCAGGCAGCAATTTTGAAGCATTTAGGGAAAAAATTTTAAGATTTAAATGGAAATGTTTTTTTTTATTTGTGATTCTTTTTATTATAATCGAGGGTTCATAAAAAGAATGCTATAACATTTTTTTTGATGTTTCTTTCCCAAAAGTTATTTATTTTCCTGTTAAGTTCAAATTCCGAAAAAATTCCCGCTCCAAGAAAATCTGACTTCCTAAGTTATGGGAAAATCCATTAAAAATAGGGATTTAGACAGAAAATAATTAAATACAACATAATTTTTAAATTTATTATATTTTTTGAAGGTGGCAGAAAAATTGATGTAGTTCTCAGCGATATGGCGCCAAATCTTTCAGGAACCCTAACTTATCAACTTATTTTTTTAGTTTATTTTTATTATTATTATCCTCCTTTGAGCCAGCGGATCTTGTCTGTAATAATAATAATTAATAATTATAATAAAAATTGATGAAACAAGAACAAATAAGTTTGGTTTAGGAACGAAGGAGTTAGATCAGATGATGACAACAAATCTAGGGGAGTAAACAATAAACCAATTAATTATAAAAAAAAAATATTTATATAATGTTTTTGAGTTTGAAATGTAGTCTTTGAACAGTGAAATTTAGAATTAGCACAACAATTATGTCAACTTTGATCTTCAAAAATAGTTTTCCATTGCTTCCCAAACTACAGTTTATATTTCCGATATTATTTGTGGGTGAGTCGGAAAATAATCTATTGGAAGTACTACAACATGAAGACGACATTTAACAAAAACAAATGATCGATGCTTTTAATTTTAAATACTCATCAAAAAATAACTTTAAAATAGCCGGTCACTCCCTTTTATGATTTTAAAAAACTATAAACCTCAATGAGCCAAAAGTCAATAAGAAAAGAAAATTTCCATACTTCACGGAAACTTATCTTTATTGTGTAAAGTTTAAAATTAAAAAAAGATGAATTTTTTTTTCTATAATAATTACTTATTATATAACAACTTTGTAGAAGAATTTTTTTAAAGCCAAAAATGGTTAAATTAAAAATTTAAAGGAATCCAGTCTTTACCACAAACTCAGATTTTCTAATCCCTTTATTTTTGCAACCTGATGGTGTAAACTTTTGATATTCCATCTTTATCTTATTTGATCTTAACTAAATTCACAGTTTGAAATATCTAAGGTCTACGACATTGGGTCGTAAAGATTTAGGGATTAGAAAATTAGAGTTTGTGGCAAAGACGTAATTTCTTTGTTCCTTTAAATAAACTGGTTTATGCTCTCTAGTCTATTCTGTGATAAAGTTTAGTCTAATAAACACATAAAATAAACTGGTTTATGCTCCCTAGTCTATTCTGTGATAACGTTTAGTCTGATGAACACAACAGCAGGGGGAGCTTTCCTCACAAAAACGTTCTTCGGAGAACAAACAAAAAGGAAAAAAGTTAAAAAGTTGACAACTGAGTAAAAATGTTAAATACATTACATCTATTAGAGTGACCCCTTCCCCTATTTTTTTAAGATTTGAGGAGGAAAATTAATAAATAGGACACCTACTTGCAATGTTTTCCTCTCATTGCATTTTTACAATGATTTATCCCCCAGCTCTTTAAAAATCATTTAAATTTAGCTATAAAAACTCCTCAAAGATTTGCCTCTCTGTTCTAAAAATTCTGGGGAAAATGTTAGTTTGGGGGGGGGGATTTTTTCACAACAAAATGTGTCCATCTGAATTAATTAGAATTAGAAGTTTGTTAACACGGATTTAACCTAATGAATTGTAGAATTGTTGATGACCTGCTGAAATTTTACAGGTGCACCATTCTTGTCTTTCACAAATTTAAAAGCATAAAAAATAAGCTGTATTTAATGTTGACAAAATGCCAAAAAATCGATTCATTTTGCACTGTTTTTATTTTGACGTTTGGCGAGAATTTGAGGAAAACCCTTTGTAAATGATCTAAACAACTCTATGCAAAACTTTGAACCAGTGTATTTTATTGAAAAAAAACTGTATCTGCTGAAAAATTAACTCCTAAAATTTTTTTAATATTTTGCATAACTCTTACAAAGTTGATAACACTCCCTTTTTATCCTATAATCTCTAAAACAAATCTATTTAGAAGCGTTGAATACATAAAGCCTGAATCTAGCAGAAAGGAATCCTCAGAACTCTATCTTCTGGCACGAGATTTCAAGGGAATAAAGAAAAGAAAATAAACCTCATTAGCAGTGGCCATAACACCCCTCAGAGATTGAAAAAGAAAACTTTTAGGTCAAAAACAGTTCGGAATCGTTAGGATCGGAAAAACTCTTAAGATTCAAAACACCCCAGTTTGCATTTGCCCTTCTGTTTACTAATAAGAACCTTGTTTAGTGACAATTGTACGCGTTTTGTGTCTATAACTTTTATGCTTCTTTATCGTTAATGTAACTTTTAAGAAATCTCTTATGCTCAAAAATAATCAATACAATCAGATAATGTTTTTTAAGCAACCTTTTTGAAAGTCTTTTTGCTCAACATTTTTAAATTCTATATTTTTCTTAATCTTGTTGTTATCTAAATTCAATCAAAAATCAAATCAATTCAATTTGAAGCTGCTTTTAAACCAATGTCTGAAGTGTTTACTTAAATAAAACAGTATTTTAAATAAACTTTTGACTCTTCTTTGTATGTCTCTTTTATATAATATTAAAATTTAAAAAAATTTCTAATTAAAAATTAATGTTCAATTTCTATTTCATCATTTTATTCTTAAAAGAAAGTCTAAAGTAGGAATAACGTTCAGATAGAGATTAAGATACAGGGTAAAGAATTTGGATTATTGTTCAACTTTTTTTATAGTAATCTTGTTAACTTTCAGAAAAATGTCAATATTTCGTTCAGGACTTTTTAAAGACAAAGTTGCTATTGTTACAGGTGAGACCCCAGTGATATAAAATATCTCCAATGTCCATTTCTAAAATAGAATACCCTATTCTTATAAAAGCCCAAAATTCAAAATATTAATGGTTGTTATAACATTGGACATAAAATTCCGAGTTCAATCATTTGAACCAATTAAAAAATCTTTTAAAGAAGAAATCACCTTTGCTTAATTTCTTTTTTAAAACATCACTAAATCAATGTGAACGTCATTACATTATATTTATAATGTTTTTTGAATTAATATGAATATTTTTTTAAAAATGTGCAAAAAATTAATTTAGGAGGGGGAACTGGAATTGGAAAGGCAATCTCTGAGGAGCTGCTCGTTCTTGGGGCAAGGTAGTTGCCCAAGAAAAGCTTAGAGAATTCAGAAAACATAATTAGTTCTTATTTTTATATTTTTTATGTTTAAATAGTTTTAGGTCTTTAATTCTAATTCTTTGTGGGTAACCCTGTACAGTATACAGACAGGAACTGTCAGAATTAATAACTTGTCTATCTCTGAACTAGAGAAACGACGAAATCTTCCACAGTATTGATAAGAAATCGGGATAAAGGGCTCCGAGAATTGAGCATTCCGTTTAAAATAAAGGTTCCTTAAAACTACAACAAAGTTACCTTTAAAAGAGGTCAATTCAAATTGAAAAATGTTTTTGATGACCACATCCGATTAAACTATGAAGTATTCTAAATTGGGCGTATTTTTTCTTGTCTGTAGATTGTGGAATGAACGTTTCTGTGTAAAATTTAAAAGACGTGTTTGGATCTTTTTTTAACTAAATTTTTCGCAACTCTTATTATTAAAAAATCAAATGAGTGTATTTCAGAGTTGTTATTGCGTCAAGAAACCAGGATAAGGTAATTTTCCCCAGATCATAGATTTTAAAAAATATATTGATTTGTTTTAAAAACATTTTTTGTGGTAATAAAATATAAAATGAAATATGATGATTATTATGAGATTTTAAAAAATTCAACGAAGAAATATATTAATAAGTATTGTTTTAGCTGTTATGTTAATAATGAAGATACTAAGAAATAAAGTAACAAAATCGAATTAAATTAACTATTCATTATCAAACAAATGTAAAAATTTAAATATTCATAATTCTTGTTAAATAATTTTAAATAAATAATTTCAAAGAAACTTTAAATACGTTTTTTAGTCAACATTAACTTACATTAGTATCTTGTCCGGGGGGGGGNTCTATATAAATCAACAAATACCGTACAGTTGTATTTCAAGGAAATAAAATGCATCTTCGATTATGAATCTATATAAATCAACAAATACCGTACAGTTGTATTTCAAGGAAATAAAATGCATCTTCGATTATGAATCTATATAAATCAACAAATACCGTACAGTTGTATTTCAAGGAAATAAAATGCATCTTCGATTATGAATCTATATAAATCAACAAATACCGTACAGTTGTATTTCAAGTCTCATTCTTTGTAAGTAACAACGTGCCTACACTTTTTCTAAATACAGTGCAAACCAGAAAACTGTAGAATAGGAAGACGACAGTAAAGCAATGCAGAAGTGAATTTGATGTTGTTGCAAAGCAAAATAGCTTTTCTATTAAGTAATCAAATCACTTATTAATTGAAATGGATTTATTTAAACTGCACAACTGCTGTGCCTCATATTCATTGACCTATTTAAAGTCATACTTGAGTCTAAAAGTCGATTTTATATTCTAGAGTTTTCTGGTTATCACTGTAATATACGATTGAAACCTTTATTGGCGTAGAGACAGACAAAAATAATTCTTCCAGGTTGCTGACGCAGCAAAGGAACTTTGTAAGCTAGGTGACGTCACTTCCTTTAGGAAACTACTAGTTTAAACCAGATAGTTTCTAAAATATGAAAGTTTAAAAGAATTCAGCATTGTTTCATAATCTATAGACAAGCCCCAAAAGGGTATATTTTCTTATTTATCAGTCTAAATCTTTGAAGGAAGCTGATTAGACTTTGACTGAAAGTACGCACTTTATGCCTTTTAACCACCAAATTATTGAACTTGCCGAGAATTAAACTTCTACAATAAAACCTCTACATTTTTCTCTGCATGGACCAAGAAAAATATGATTTTAAGGGAAGAAGAGGAATAATTCTACCATTTTTCAAAGATAAAGAAAAAACAATGGTTATAACTTAACGTTTATCAAGATGTAACATCAGAAAAGAGGAAGATGTAAAGTAAGTAGAATAAAAAATGAATTCAAGATTATCTATTTCAGTCAAAAACATGTACTAAATTTATTTATGATAAACAAAGCTAACATTACAGGACAAGACAATAGACAATAAAACTACTAAAAAAATTGCAGCAGTCATTAAATCTAATCTTCTGTTTTTTAATCCTATTAATATTCTTATTATCTTTATATTAATTTAAAAAATCTTACCTTTTTTTCAGGACCTTGGTGAAAAATACGTTGGGTAAGAGATCATTTAATAATTATACTCCAATAGGAGTCCTGAGAATCAACACCACATAAACATAAACAAAGAAATGTAAATTAATATTTTTCACTATTATCATTACAGACTTGTTTTTTATGCTTAGGGGAAGAAATAAAAAATTGGACATTACAAGATTTTCAACTTTTTGACACTTTTTACCCAAATCAGCTCATAAAATCCTTCAAATATCCTAACGTTTGGGGAAAAAATTATTTTCCAAAGGTAGAGGGGGGGGGGGGCGTTTTTAAATATAAACCCCTCGTAAAACTACGTAAACCAGCCAATGATAAATTTGTCGAATTAAACAACTTTTAATGAAAGATAAATAATAATGAAAGGTCAAGCAAAAAGAACTGAACATAAATAATTAAGTTTAAAAACGATGCATACAAAACAGATGATAAAACAAAAAGGTTTAACAGAATTCTAGAAAATGAAGTGAAGATATTCAAACATATTCAAAAGAATTGTGATGTGAAATTTAATTTTGTTAAATATCATCATTTTTTGTTCATGTTTAATTTTTAACCTGTTGAAGATAAATACGGGCGAATAGATTATCTGGTCAATAATGGTGGAGGACAGTTTCCGTGCCCAGCTGCTGACATGTCCCTCAAGGTTACGTGCTTAATTTCATGCATTATTTTCATGTCATAACTGCACTTAAGATTTTTGGACATCAGTTTCATGTCGTTGCATGCCTCACAATGTGACATTCTTCATTGCAAATATTATTTTCATGTCATAATTAGATTTTTGAATTTTCACTATTCAGTTCCATGTCTTCACAATGACATGTTCCTCAAAGTGGCATGCTTCACAGCATATATCATGTTCATGTCATTACATGCACTTAAGATTTTTGTTGTTGGGTCATTTCATAGAAAGACATTTCATAGAAAGGACATTTCATAGATGGGACATTTCATAGATGGGACATTTCATAGATAGGAGACTTCATTATAGATAGGACACTTAATTGATAGGACATTTTAAAGAAGACATTTCATAGACAGGATGTTTCATAGACAGGATATTTCATAGACAGGACAATTCATAGATAGGACATTTCATAGACAGAGAATATTTTTTTTCTGCAAAGTAATCTTATCTAATAAATCATACCCTGATGTTCTTTCTCTCTGAATTTTTTTTAATGTATAATTTATATTTTTGCTTTAAACTGATCACATTTTCTAAAAAATGTGACACTTTTTTTACATACCCCAAAACCTTAACGTGTCTTTGAAAAATTTGCTTTTGTGTCTTTGAAATTACCTATCAATGAAATTCTTCTCTGTTTATGAAATTGTCTGTCTATAAAAAATTTACTCTGTTATAAAAATGTCCTGTCTCTGGAAAGTCCTATCTCTGAAATGTCCTATGATCCTATCTATGAATTTCTTTTTCTGTGAAATTTTCTATCTATGAATTTCTTTTTCTTTTAATGTCCTATCTATAAAATGTTCTATCAATGAAATGGCATATTCTATGAAACGTCCTGTCTATGAAATATCCTATCTATGAAATGTCTATTCTATGATTTGTTATCTATGAAATGTCCATCTATGAAATGTCTGTCTTTGAAATGAACCAACACCAGATTTTTGCATGTCTGTTTTATATCTTTGAATGCCTTACAAGGTGACCTTCAGCATTGCATTGCATATATCATTTTCATTTCATAACATGCACAGAATATTTACATATCTTTTTCATGCTTAGCATGTCTCTCAAGGTGACATACTTCATTTCATAATTGCAAAGTGAATTTTCATGTTTCAGTTTCTTGTCTTTGCATGTCTCTCAAGGTGACATTCTTTTCTGCATATATCATTTTATGTTTGTCATGTTCCTTAGAGTGACATGTTTTATTGCATGGATAAGTTTCATATCTTAAAATGTCCTTCACTGCACCTTGTTTCGGTGGACATATTAGTCGACAGTCTTTTGACTTAAATGTCCATTTAGGTGACATGCTTCATTGTCCTTGTCTGAAAGTGACATGATTGATATAATTTCATAATGGAACATGCTTCATTGCAATTATTGGTCACATTTCATTTCTTCATAATATCTGACACCTGTCAAATTTGCTTCCATATTGTTAAGATAATAAAAGCCCACCTAAAGTATATTTAAAAGAGAAAACATTTTAAGGAGGATCAAAGCTATTTTCATAAGACAAATAAAGATTATATTTACTTTTGTTTCCATCTAGGGTTGGAATGCAGTGATTGAAACCAACTTGACCGGAACCTACCTCATGTCAAGAGAAGTATACAATCAATATTTCAAGGAACAGTCACTTTTTTTGTTTGCATTTTTAACCTTTCATTCGTAATTTTTTCCTATAAAAAATTTTCCACTTTTTAAAATTCTAAAAGTGCATATTTTTATATTTTACATAAATAATCGCATAACATTTGATTCTAAACAAGAACTTGTAAGAATAGAAAGAGATGGAGTAAAGATATTGAGTTTTTGAAAATTGTCCAAAAAAGTTTAAACAGATTTTTTTATAGGACCACGGTGGTGTTGTTGTAAACATAATTGCAGACATGTTCAGAGGATTCCCAATGATGTCCCACACAGGTTAATTTGATAATACCCCAGGACAAGGACTCAGGGTTATTTTTAATCAAATCCGTCTGTAATCCTTGCATCACTGTACAATACAATCAAATACTAGTTTGGTTTGGGCCGGGTCGGGTTGGGACTTTCAGCGTCCCGTATACGGTGCAGTGAAACTCAAACCCTTCAAATTCCTTCAAATAGGATCCATGTAAGATTGTCCTATATAAAAAATCTTATATTGTTTAACTATTCCTTTTTTATTTTTAAAGGTACTATAAAATAAAGTTTGGTCTTAGGTTTTTTTAAATATGTTTATTAATTTTTAAAGGAGCAGCAAGGGCTGGTGTTGAAAATATTACTAAAAGTTTTGCCATTGAATGGGCCGAACAGGAAACTTCATCCTAATAATAATAACCATTATAAAAATTTTTTATTCAAATAAAAATATTTTAACATTTTTTTCTTACAGTTAAATATTTTATATTACTATTTTTAGTTTGTAATAATCGTCCACTGAAATTAAGGTTCAAAGAATGCTTTTAGAACACATATTTAAAATTTAAAATGAATAGCAAATTTAAATTATATTTGATATGATTTTACGTCAAATGAAGCATCGGACGTCAAAAATTGTTTTAAGACCTTAGAGACCTGAAGATCAGAGCTGCAAGCTTTTGTGGATATAAGATCAATTGATCTCGATCTTTTATTAATCTGCAAATTAATTTAATCTTTATTTGATACCTAAGCGATCGAATTTATGAGTATCCATTCCAAACTCCCAGCTCAGAACACTATATTTAAGGAATTTTAAGCTCAGCTTTTTTAGCACATTTTTTATTCGCAAAAGAAGCCCCCTGTTTGGTGGGAGTAGGGAGTCCGTGTAAACTGTATCGCCCCAGGGAGTACAATCTACTCCCCTACAGCAGCGGCGAACTACTCTACTGAATTTGCCCCCTTCGAGCATTCTCGCCCGGGAGTTCCCTCCAAACGGCTTGGAACCACTCAGGAGGCGAGTTAGGAGGCGAAACTAACCTCATTTTATATGTACAGGGTTACCCACAAAGTATGAGACTGTGGAGACGACTGTACGGAATTATTTAGTCTGATTTTTTAAATTCCTGGTTCCTTGGAGCTGTACACTTTTTTCATCTTTGCCAAATCATTTGATATATCTCCTGACAACTTAGTTAAACATAAAGTTCCAATTAAACCTTAGATATATTAAACAGTCTTAATTAAAGTAATTAAAGTCTCATCCTTTCTAGTTAACATTGTATAATATGGAAAATAGATAAAAATAGACGGGTTGATGGTTCTGAGCCGCTTGAAGGTGTACTCCTAAGCTTCTTCAATATTGTAATAAAGGGACTGTAAGCTTAATTTCATGTGACCCTCCGTGTAAATATGGCAATGTCGAATTTACAATGGTACCTAACAAAGCTTTATTTGATCAAGTATGACATAATTCCATGATCATAATTTTAATAACCGATTATTTGTAATTCAATATTTCTCTTCTAAGGTGATTCGCGCATTTCTAATGTAGGAAAACCATGGACGAGATACAGAATCAACCACTTTTAAGCTCAAACAAATATCTTTCACATTATTGATCTGATAAAGGGTTTAAGGGTACTGTTGTGAATCGGGTATGTCCTTCTTTAAATAGAGGGTCACTTGAAGTTACGCATGCTGTCCCTCTAGACTGGTTTATCTGAAGGTGCTGCCAGAGCAGGAGTTGAAAACTTGACAAAATCCTTGTCTATTGAATGGGCTGAGAACGGAGTCAGGAAACATTATTTTTTTTAACTAAGTATTAAAGGGACTGTCGATTTAATTTTAAGCGATCCTTCACTTAAAGGACTGGGGTCCGATTCACAATGGTATCATTTATCTGAGCCAATAATGTAGAAGATATCGTCGTTTTCTGACAATTTTTATAAATTGATTATGCAGCAGAAATCTGCAAATTAGTTTTATAGAGAAACCACAATTGAAGAAGGAAAAACAATGGATCTTTCGATCTTTTAATAGTACCGTTGTTAATCAGACAGGCCATTCTTTCTTTAATAGGAAGGCCACCTGAAATTACGTCTACTTTACTATAAAAATGTCTTTTTGGTAAGAATAATTCATAGCAAAGATTTATCAGTGCCTGTTGCTTTATGTATGCACTGAACAGGAAACTAAACCGAGTTATTTCTTAATTACCAATTTATTTTCGAAGAAAACTTCAATTCCTAAATAATAATAATTTAATGAAGCAATGTATCAGAGTGAATGCTATTAGCCCTGGGGTCATTTTCTCAAATACTGCTCAGGCATTCATCACATTAAAATTCAGAAGTGGAAATTTCACAAAATTAGAAGATTGGAAAAACAATTATTAATTTATCTCTAATGTTTTAGCTTTTTTCTTTATTTTTTCCATGCTGTTATTTTTACCATTTATGAATTATTTCGAAAAAAATGTTAAACATTATGCTCAAATAAAACTGTTCTTTTTGGAAAATATCTTATTTTTTAATATTTAAAAAATTTGTATTAAGAAAAGGAAATATCCGTTTATGAGATGTTTTTACTTAGGCAAATTATGACACAGATATTTTTGAAATGAGTCGACCAAAATTACCCTTCAAGCGGCTCGGGGAACCTCGGGAGGTAGAGATATTAGATACAGGGACAGGGTTACCTCCAAAGAATGATACTTCAGAGACGACTGTTCGGAATTTTATTTTGCTGCATTGCTTGTTTCTGACTTTGCCAGAGCTGAAAACTTTAGAATGGATAAACTTTAATCCTGACTTCTTGATCCGAATATCCACTGTGGAAACTTTTCATTTTAGTCCTTAATCCACTCTTTTACTCTCTCCTTGGATATCCGCTAATTGTTTTCTCCAATGAGAATATTTCTGTCCTCTCATTGGTTGCCCGCTTTTCTCTGATTGGCTGCTACAGTTTCTCAGATGATTAAATATTAATTTGAATTTTATCGTTTTTCATACACTTTTAAGATAATCTTGCAAGATTCGGTTAATCTGGAGATTAAGAAAAAGAGTGGATTAAGCCTTAATCCCGATATCCACCATTCAAAAGTTCCCAGCTCAGATCATATAATATTACTAATAATAACTTTAAAAATTTAATTAACTTTGAAAGTTCAAATTAAACTATCATATTAAAACAGTTTTAGGTCGTTATTAATGTTTCATCCTTTGGGGGTAACCCTGCATGCTTGCCAAGTTTTTAAATAATATTAGAAGTGTGGTTTCTCAGATTAGCACTTTTTCAATTGGGAGGATCACAGTGGCGTAAATAAGGGGGGTTATTGTGGTTACTTACCCCCCCCCTTATTTACGCCCCTGGAGGATCATTTTGAAATTACGTTAGCATTCTCTTTAAGGACAACAATTTCTAATCTAAAAATATATCTAGGTTTCCTCAGCAGTTTGTTTCCTTTTATCTCCAGGATCCCAGTTTATCAGGTATACATTATACACGATACACAGAGGCGTAGACAAGGGGGGGTATGGAGGCGGGGTTTTCAGGCCCCAGCGGGTTCTGAGCCCCCCCCCCTGGAAATAAAAAAAAATTAAGCCCCCCCTCCCCGACCTCTGTCCTGGTCAATTCCTGTGTACGCCCCTGACCGTACAAAACACTGATATACAGTGGAATCCTAGAACTGTGGAATAAAAATACGTTTGTTCAACTCGATTTAAATTTTCTTTAGTACTATTTAAACCTGAAACACAGCAATCGTGTACACAGGCCAATTTCACTCAATAAGTTGATTTTCAAGCTAATGAAAAAACTATTTGCTTTTTCCAACATTTAGATTAATTGTTGTATTCCTAGTCCACAGTTTTATGGGTCTCACATTACCCAGTTTGGAAATCTTTGTGATCCTCCCAACTTTGACAGACTTTGCCTTTGGGTTGCCAATAATAACTGGTCTTTACTTTGTGTGGCCCTGGAGAGGACAATTTTAAAGCTGGAATTCGATTGTTTCTAGTTTTATAGGTTTAAAGGAGGATTTGGAAAATTCTTGATAAATACCTTTTAAAGGTAATGAGTTTTTGCCACTTACTCTAACTTTTTAATAAAAGCAATACTGAAGTGCATTTGATGTTGTTACAAAGCAAATAGTTTTACTACTAACTTATTAAATCACCTATTAAGTGAAATGGGTATATTTACACTGCAGAATTGCCGTGTCTTATACTCATTGATCTATTTTAATTCATAACTTGAGTGTTAAAGTGGATTTCCTATTCCATGGAGTTTTCTGGTTCTCATTGTATAATACTTGTAGTGGTGCTACCTTGCGAGTTGATGGTGGAGGAAGTCTTTACAGCCCTCTTATGTGGAAGATAGACGAACACAAGAATATCCCGTCCTACTCTTGGGATCCATATAAATCTAAATTATAATCCTCTTTCACACAAGAAGATCCCGTCCTACTCTTGGGATCCATATAAATCTAAACTGTAATCCTCTTGAACACAAGAATATGCATCCATTTTTAGAGTCGATGGATATAGAACAAAAAAGGGTTTGATTTGTTATGATTTGATATTCTTATAAAGCAGATATAATATAAAAACAAAACATTTTAAAAATTTTCAAAAAATTTTGTTGCAGGGTTTGACATTAAGGAAAGCACGCATTTCATTGTATTTCGTAATGAAATATCTAGCTGATATCTTGCAATTAAAAATCTCAGGGTGAAAAAACTCCATCCCCCTCATTAAGATGTTCTGCATATTAAGAATTGTTTCCTTCAATATATTTTTATACAATTGTTATTTACTGGTTGTAGTTTTATTTTTTAGTTAAATAAAGGTGTCAAAAGATAAAGATTGAATCAGCTGACGTTGAGTTACTTCAGTTTTCGTTGGAATGTTAAAACTATTATTTGCCAATTTCATGACTTATGTTTCATGTGAGGAATGTGAGTGGTTTAAGACCATGGTTAGCTAGAGTTTCCAATCGGAATTCCGCGCAATCATTGCTTACACTTGCGCCGTTTCACTGCGCGGAATTGCGCTACAATTGCGAACAAGAAAGCAATTACATATTCGCGGAAATGCAATGAATTTCGCAGAATTGCATGCATCGGAATTTCTTTTCCACCTAAAAATCAATAATTTTAACTGTGACTTAAAAATGTATGCAGCTACAGATACAAGAATGGAAATATCCAAGAAATATCTCTGTAGATTTTTAAAAATTACTTGTTTCAACAGCTATCAAATTTTAAAGTTTCTTGTGGTTAAGCTACTATAATTAACAATTTAATATGATACATTTTCCATTTTTTCACATTAGATGAACATTAAAATGGAAACTTTTTTTGGTTAAATTGCGCAAAAATAGCATTTTTTGCGTGCCATAAGGTTTAAATTGATTAAATTAAAACACAAACCAAGAAAATTGGACGGAATTGCGCGCAATTGTAAACGTATGCATGATAGGAGGATGTATTACACCACAGTATTAAGAGGGATTGCCTGGTTTTGTGCCCCCCCCCCCCCCTTGGCAACATTAAGAAAATTACATAAATTTAAGTTTACATAGTTGAAAAAGATATCAATATTTATTTCAAAAAACGGGGTTTTTAAAGGGGGGCACAATGTTGCCAAGGGGGGCACAAAAAAAATTTTTGCGCCAAATGTGCCCCCCACCCTACACAAATGCTCTCGTACGCCCCTGATTCGTATATACTGTAAATATCGACATGTTATAGCCGAGTGATGGGGTGGGGCGAAATCGGATTNTGCGGCACTGCAGACGTCCCCCTGCATATAAGCAATTAAAACAATGTTAATATTTGTTTTACGAGACGGGTGCACGTGCCCCCTACTGGTGCCCCCTGGGGTGGCACACATACAAATACGAAATGATACGATGTGAGGAAAAAATAAAAAATAAGACGTTAATTAAGACATCTTAATTCATCCTTTTTCAATATTTTTAAAGAACTTTTCATGGTGAATTAAAGCCTGAAAATTTGAATGCGAATAAAATATTTTTGGTAATAAAAATTTAAATACCAAAGAAAAATTTGACATCAAAAGGCAAGTTTTCATCCAATTTTTAATTCTTTTTACTTAAAATTTCAGCACTTATATTTTTACTTGGGCTAAGAGTTGCAATGGGATTATAAGTTGAGAGTTTTGACTAAATCTTATTTCCTTTACAACTCTGATATTTAAAAACATAATAATAGTCTAAGTATAACCAAGCAGACTAAGAATAAAAGATATACGGTTCTTAAAGACAAAAAACTAAATAGTAATTTTGTCAAAATATGGGTTTTTCGAGGGGGGGGGGGGGCTACAAAATCTTCAAGAAGGTGCACAAAATAAATTTCGCCGCGCTGCGCTCGCTAAAGGTGTCCCCCTCCCCTCCCACACTTTAAGCTCCGCACGCCCCTGAATTTTGTACAACAAATAATTGTCTATTGCTTCAATTTTAATTATGAAAGACATTTCTACTCTTTCTACTATATTCTATAAATAATCATCAAATCATTTACTGTTTTTAACAATTGACAAAACTGTAATTTACAACAAAAACCTAATTCTAAAAGCATTTCTTACACGAAAGGTATCAAATCCAAACCCAACCTCTTACCCCCTCCCCCCCCCATCTCTCTCGCTCTCTCTCTCTGTTTCTTTCTCTCTCTCTTAGTACTCGTTACTGTTGGACGGTAGGACGGGACGGTACGGGGTCGGAATATAGTGAATACATTGCTTCTCTAGTCTTTATGCTCAGTCGATCTCAGCTGTTTGCTAGAAAAGGAGGAAAGGAAAGCCCGTCTGCTACGCTTGCCGGTTTAATTCAAGTTTGCGTACGTACGCATTCAACTCAACTTTGTTTACACTGAACTCCGAGGAATTTAATCAAATTTATTATTTCTGCTATTTTTCAGAATTGATTAATTACTGTTTTTATGGTTTTCCCATTAATTAAAGTGTGTTAGTGGTGTGTGTGCAAGCTCTGTGATGGATTTGAAAAAAACAGTTCCAACATCGCGCTTATTCAGCCTTGCACTTCTTGACATAAAGGATGAACAGGTCATAATAATTTTTTAATTTTACAGTTAAAACTAAGCTTACAGAGTTTAAAGACCTGCAAGTGATTCATGATTACTTGATATAATTATTAACAATTTAACATATTTCATATTTAATGGGTTTTTTGGCGGGGGAGTCCAAAAATCGTATACTAGGAAATTACCACTTTTTTTCCTGATCTATCTAAATCAAGCATTAAAGGAGAATACAATAAAAGATTAAAGTTTTTCGAAAACATTAAGAACCAGCCAACTCTGGATTCTGGAATAGGAAGACGACTTTTATACTTAATATATGACTTTATAAATAGTGAGACAGCAATTTTTCGGTGCAATCAGGCCCATTTCACTGAAAACATTAAATACAGCGCGTTATTGCTTTAATGTCGTCTTACTAATCCACAGTTTTCTGATTCTCAAGCTGTTGTATTAATTGTATCTTTTATTTATCAGGAGGAGAGGTATGAAAAGCTGATTGTCTCCTTGCAGGGGATTATTCAGGGGAAAGGAGAGAAAGAATTAAATGATGCTCTGAGCACAACCGTGGCTAAGGAATTCAATTTATGTCTATTCAATTTTCAAGATTTCAGGAGATATATTTTTTTCCTTTCATAATAATAGAAATAATTACGAATCGGTGGAAATAATATCTATTTATGTCATTGTAATGGGTATTATTAAGTGCGAAAAAGTTTTTGCCGGGATTTTAATTTTTTCTAGTTGTTTTTTGATAGAAAACAAACTAGAAAAGTTAAAAATCACAGCAAAATCACCCATAAAACCATTTCAATAACGTATATCCTTTTATTCAATTTTACTCAAATTATCTAAGTAACTTTATCCCATGCACTACAATGAGACAAATTAGGTATGAAATTTGAAATTTTAATAACAGGGTGAAAAAGTTACTTTTTCGCCCTGTTGTAGGGCGATAAAGTCACTTAATCACCCTACAACGGAAATATTAGGTGTGATAAATTCCACCTAAATTTAATTAACTATTTTTTGGCTAAAAGTATTATATATAGGGGAAGCCCAACTTTTCATTTTTCCTCACAGTTCTTAGAGCATGATCTCTTCCCCCTCTAAACTATTGAATTTGATATTTCCACACAGCATGCATGATTATGACTTATTTGCATTTTGAATTTTTTCACCTTACAAATTGTTTAAGGGAGGAATCGTTCTCAATAATTAAAAATATCTCCTAAAAATATCTTTAAAATGCTAATTGCATAATATTAATATGATTATGAATAATTGCATAATATGTTAAAAAAATACGTTGCATGTGATCAAGAAATATTTCCTCATTTTTGTTTTCTTTACCAATCTGAAGTTTGCAAATAAAACATAATGAATGTTTAAAGGATGCTAAAAGTCATGAAGATATTACGGTTGGTTACATGCTTCTTATACTTATTGAACCAGATAATGCACAGAAACATTACAGGTAGGCTAAACGGTTTTTTATTTAAAGGAAAAGATAGAAAATTTAAAGTTTAGTATTCGGACCCTTTAAGCAATGTCATGAAAAAGCAAAGCCATGTTTTATCTTGAAAATAAATGAAAAAGACTAAGATAAAATGCATAAAACTAAATGAGATTGTTGGCGTGATTTTTAGTTGTCATAGAATCTTTGAAATTGTGTCGTAGTTTGTTTTTTAAGATGTGAAAAGCGAAGATATCTCCATTTTTAATTTTTGAGAAAAGGATTCTCTCTTATAATTCATGGTCATTAGATTTCACGTTAATAGTCCCTTAAACCATCCAGTGATTTAAAGTAAGAAGAAAAAAAACTATTAATATAATAATAGAATATAAGAATAATATTAAATAAATAATAATATAATAATAAAATTATTTTTTATAATAATTTTAATTTTAATTATTCTTTTTTTTAGACATTTAACCCTTGTGTCCCGTGATGGATTACACTGTGTACTCAATGAACTGACAAGACTAGTGCTGGATAAATACCTCAAGGTTAGCGAACTAAAACAATTATCTAATTTGAACTAATTTTAGTTCTGTTCTGTGTATTTAATATTTTTTTTAATGGCATCTTATTTTTATTATTGACATTCTTTTGGTTCTGTTTTACTTTTTTGACATGGTTTCTTTTTTACTAAAATTTTTTTTTTCATAAAAGCTGGGTTTTACGAATCTTTTTTAGTTAAAGGAAGAGGTTCGTCGCCAGCTGCTATGGATCGTCAGAGAGATGATCAAAAACCAGGAAACCTGAAATCAAAATATTTAAAAAATAAATAATAACCCCTCCCCCCCTTTGGAAAAAAAACACACACTTAACTTTAATAAAAAATTGTTCAGTTCTTTTTTTTAGGACTTTTTCATCAAAAAGTAAATTTTTTTTCTAAATTGGTGTGCAGTTGCCAATTTTTATGGCACTTATGTAGGTAATTTAACTTAAAATGGCAAAAAGGTAGATTTTCTGGTTCCGTTAGGTTCAAAATATTGATGGTTTATGTTGGACATTAATGAGACAAATTGCAGGAGGAGACCTTAGGTAATTAACAATACCAGGGAATGATGGAGAGGGGGGGGGGGATTTTCTACGCATCATTTTACACCGAACCCCTGTGATCCTTCCAACCCCCTCAAAGTTGCCGTACCTCAATGAATTACAAAATGCTAATAAATTTTCAGTTAACAAATAAAAATCTAGAAAAGAATTTGTAGCAAAATTATTTTGAAAAAGTGTTATGCTTTATAAAATTTCAAACGCTTTTCCGTAAATTTTGCAAAAAAAAAGATTTTATAAACATCCATATTTTAAGTATTTTGAAATTCAAAAAAAAAACTTTAAAAATGTCACACATTTTCTGGAATATTTAGTAGTAAATAACAAAAGAAAACTTCCTTGAATAACAGAATATTATTATTATTAAAAATCAACCTAAAGACAAAATATCATAACCTTTAGGTTAAAATACAATGAAAACAGGGTATATTAAAACTTACTTAAAAGATTTCGATATAAAAAGATATGTTTTGTCTGAATTATTTTAATTTTCAGTCAGAAGAATCTGTGGTTGGCTGACACCCTGATGGATATCTATACTGAGCACAGAGCTTGGTTGGAGAAATTCCAGTTCCTCCTCTCCAGTGTAGTATACACCTATCTCAGGTATGATATCTATACTGAGCACAGAGCTTGGTTGGAGAAATTCCAGTTCCTCCTCTCCAGTGTAGTATACAACTATCTCAGGTACGATATCTATACAGAGCACAGAGCTTGGTTGGAGAAATTCCAGTTCCTCCTCTCGAGTGTAGTATACAACTATCTCAGGTATGATATCTATACTGAGCACAGAGCTTGGTTGGAGAAATTCCAGTTCCTCCTCTCCAGTGTAGTATACACATATCTCGGGTATGATATCTATACAGAGCACAGAGCTTGTTGGAGAAATTCCAGTTCCTTCTCTCTAGTGTAGTATACACCTATCTCAGGTAGACATGGGCAACCTTTTTTTAATGTTTTTGGAAATAATGATTTATTTACGTTATAAGGCTCCACGAAAATTGAACTGTTTAAGTCAGCGTTTGACATAAATACATAACTTTTACTCGGAAACAAAAAAGAAAAAAATGTTGGTTAGTTCGTTCGTTATTGTTTAATCTTGCGACAGAGTAAGAATTTTCATAGCTAAATACATTATTATTATTATTATTGTTATTATAATTAATAAGGTCAAAAAATACAACAATACAATTAAAAATTCTGAAACTAAATTAAAATCTTATTTTTTTACTTTTCCCAATCGTAACGCCAGGTATTTTCCCGAGTTAAGAAAAAATTAACCACAAAATTTTTAACTGATTTTTTTTAATTCCCAATGGTAACTCTAGGTATTATTTGATTAAGTTTTCTAGGACTTTATAAAAATAGGGAAAAAGTCATTATTCTAATTTGTTCAGATTGTTCAGATATTTATCCCAATTCAGTAAATGAACCATAGAAAATTCAAATAATGTCGAAGAAAATTTTTTTTTCAATTCTATTCGAAGCCAATTAAAAACTAGGGTTTGTTAGAATGTGGAACCTGTATGAAAAGTACAACCATTATTATATTTAGATTTTTAATTTTATTTTTTATTGAATCATTTTTCTAGGATAATTGAAGATCATGCTCATTCCAATCTGTCGGCTCTCAGGTACAGTTTATCGGGGTATATTTTTTCTTTTGAAACTGATTTCCCCCCCCCCCCCAAAAAAAAAAGTTTTTTTTGCTGAATTTGGGAATCAGGGTAATGAAGGGTCGCATATTTCTTAATCTATTTATGATGATAAATTGAGTCTTAACAGTCGTCTTCCTATTTCACAGTTTTATGAGTCTCACTGTATTGTTTATTCTAGGACTAAGGAAGTAAACTTTGTTGTTGGTTTGATACGGGACCGGTTTAACGACGTGATACAGATTGGTCGGGACCTAGTTCGTCTTCTTCAGAATGTTGCTAGGATACCGGAGATAGAACAGGTAGCAGGGGGACACGTCTATAATATACAATTCTTTTTTGATAAAATGTGAAGTATAGGAACTGAAATATATATAAATTAAGCAGCATTGCTTCCAGACTAAGTTTTCCCTACAAAACTCAATTTTTTAAACTATACTAAACACATCCCTGTAGCTCTTGACTTTTCCTATCAAAGCTTGAGGCAAATCGGTCAAGGGGTTCATGAGTTATAATCAGACATAAAAATAGACAAGCAGAGATTACTACTTTTATGGTAGATAAAGAAGTAAACAATGTTTGTTTATCTGTTTGTCCGATCAGAACTCGGAAATCCCTTGACCAATTTGCCTCAAATTTTGATTGGGTAACTCTGTAGAACCACGGAAATCTTAGCTTGGTTTAATTAGGGAATTGGTTCCCACACTAGTCTTGAGTTTTTATTTTCAGTTATATCATGATGTCTGATATTTTTTCCCCATTTGCGCAACTAATTATGACTTTTAGAAGAAAATCCATTTTGTTTACATAGATCATTATTATTAATTATTATTATTATTATTATTATTATTATTATTATTATTATTATTATTATTATTATTATTATTATTATTATTATTATTATTAAAGTGGTATATATTTTTAAGCATTATGTTAATTGTACATCATACGGTGACCTTATTAGATTTATATGAAATTTATACTGGTCGTCAGTTAATCAGTATACGTATATGTTGTACATAGCATTGTTATACATTGTTCATTATTTAATGCTCTTTACAGATTTTATGTAAAAGGAAACATATTAGATATCCTATGTAGAAGAAATATGAAAAAGCTTTAAACATTTTTATTTTTAATTGTGAATAAGACAATTATTTTAGTGGGATTCAAAAGTAATAACGTAATTATTATTTTTGCAGGAGATTTCTGCAATCTCGAATAACCCCAGATATGGAGAAGAAACTGGTCTACCTCACATCTCAGGTCCCCTTCCCCCTTTTATTTTGGACCCCCACCTAAACTCTTATTTAAAGGTCTCATGCTCTCAAGCAAAAATCGATGGGAATTTTTCTAATTGCTTCTGAAAAAAAGAAGAAAAAAGTGTATAATTATTGCCTTGCCCCTTTCTTGTAAAAAATCTATCTTTCCCTACATAAATTATAGGTCACTAAACACTAAACATGAACATGATCCTGAACTTAAACCTAACCTGATCCTATACTTAACCATGAACATGAACATGAACATGAACATGAACATGAACATGAACATGAACATGAACATGAACATGAACATGAACATGAACATGAACATGAACATGAACATGAACATGAACATGAACATGAACATGAACATGAACATGAACATGAATGAACATGAACATGAACATGAACATGAACATGAACGTGAACATGAACATGAACATGAACATGAACATGAACATGAACATGAACATGAACATGAACATGAACATGAACTCAAACCTTACCTGAACATGAACATGAACTCAAACCTTACCTGAACATGAACATGAACTCGAACTCAAACCTTACCTGAACATGAACTCTAACCTAACTTTAATTTTTAAGGTTCGTTTTGGTTCTCATAAAAGATACCAAGATTGGTTTCAGAAAAATTATCTGGCAACAATGGAGTCCCAGTCTCTCAGGGGAACATTATTATTTAACTTTTTGTTAAACTGAGTATGTCCAGTTCAACTACTGATTTAAGCTTATATGCAGCATAGAAGAAGTGGAAGTGAACAATCCCTTCCATCCACAATTCCTATTTCAGTTTAAATATTCTTTTTTGATTAAAAATAATAATTCTAATGGTTAGATGTGATTTAATCCGTTTTATTGTGGGTGTTATCCATCCTACAAATGAACTCCTTTGTTCTGATATCATCCCCAGATGGGCAGTTATAGGTCAGTTACTTAAAAATTTAATTGATGCCGGTGATCTGCATAAAGTCTTAAATATTTTCATGTTTAATCAAAGATTATTTTTTAATACTTTTAAATTTATTTATTTCATAACTGTAATTACATGCCTTCTGCACTATATAAATCCTTATTTTGTACAGATAGATATTATCAAGAGAAGTTGTTTAAGTAAAACAGGTTTGTGTTGTGTAACGTGTACACACCCAGACACAGAACAATTATTGTGTTTCTTGTTCACTGGACTATTTAAAATCATAATTTGGGTCTTAACATTCGTCTTCCTTTTCCACAGTTTTATGTTACTTATTGTTTTTTTAATTTAATGAATATTTAATTAGGTTGGCTTCTAACGACCTGTACAAACCCAGTTGCTGCTAGTAACGCTAAGCTGGCCCTGTTCTATGACTGGTTATTCTACGAGGCGGACAAGGATAACATCATGAATATCGAGCCCGCCATTCTTGTCATGCACCACAGTCTTCGTCCCCACCCTGCCATCACAGCCACACTTTTAGATTTCCTCTGCAGGATTATTAATAATTTCTATCCGGCAGGATGCGATAAGGAATGAATTCAAAGAAATTAAATGTTTTTTTCAATTATTACAATTTTTCCCATCGCCTTCTTAACGGACTGTAAACGGACTGTAAAGTGACTCTCCGATTCCATTTATAGAGTGGCACCGGCACACCATATTCACAATGTGAATTTCACATGTATCCTTTAAAACTTTGTCTCATTAAGAATGAATGATATATTTATGTTTAGTTAGTTTTTAATCGGGGGTTTCTCTATACTTGCGGATATCTGCTGCACAAGCAATGTAGGAAATATTCCAAGCTAGAACGAAGATATTAATAACATTATTGATCAGATTTATTGAGCTCCATTAAGTGAATCGGGAACCTATTGAAAATGAACATATACTTGAAATTAAATTTTGACGAATTTGAACATATATTACATAAATAAATAAATTTCATCAAGTTGAAATTGAATTCTGGTTGAATACGTAATAGTTTTATGTAGAGACATAAAGATCCCGTTTTCTCTTACAACAAATACCTTAACTCCCTCATAAAACCCCACATTCATTTGACCTTAATTGTTCGTTGAAGTTCATATTTTCCTCGAGATTTCCCAGTTTCTAGCTACATCTGTTAAAATGAGTTCATTACACTAGGTGAGGAATGGAATTTATTCCTCTTTGCGCCAAATTGTTGACAAAAAAGTGTTGCCCTCCCTGAGCCCGCTGTTTGACAATCAGCGGTTAGACCGGGAGCTAAGGGCGATGTTGAAGGAACGGTTCGGCGGGTTCCTAGCTAAAGAAGAGGAGGATAGATCAGACCCGGCGATTATTCTTGATAAGGCAAGTTTTATCAGTGTTATACAATTCTGAATAGTTTGTAGGATTTATTAGATTATCTTTCTGTCCAAGATAAGAACTGTTGAAAGAAAATTTTTGCAAAGTGGTGTTTGAGGACTGTTTGTCGCTTAACTGTACTTTCTTCAAATTTTCCTAAATTCTCAAGTTTCAAGGCATGAAATAATATTAGACTTTAATATAAGGTTTGCATGCCGGACCAAGAAAATCGTGGCTCGAAGGTGGATTTTCGTTCTTCCTCAAGCGGTAGAGGGAGAGTTATCTATTTATATATTTTTTCTATTTTTAGGATGAGGAGATGATGCATGATGGTGACGGAGGTCCAACCTTCTCCGACGACGAGGATGACGACCTTCCCAGCCTCCAAGGATACCAGCCTGACGAGGATGTTGTTCTCGCCCCCGTCATTGTTCCCTCAACCCCTGAAGTGTCGAGTAATAACGGGCATTCAGCTCCAGTTCCACAGCTTAATAAACTCAGTTACTCCGTAGGTAAGATCAGTCCCAGCTCCACAGCTTAATAAACTCAGTTACTCCGTAGGTAGGATCAGTCCCAGCTCCACAGCTTAATAAACTCAGTTACTCCGTAGGTAGGATCAGTCCCAGCTCCACAGCTGAATAAACTTAGTTACTCCGTAGGTAGGATCAGTCCCAGCTCCACAGCTTAATAAACTCAGTTACTCCGTAGGTAGGATCAGTGCAGGCTCTTTCAAGAGAAAATTTTAATTCAATGTGCAGGACGGGCTTAGTCCCCCTAAAAAAAGTAAACCAATGATTTTAAGGTTGGGGGGCCGAATGTCAAGCACAGTCCTACTCAGGACAGTTTTCTACATTTCAGTGGGGAAAACTGACCGGACAGACACTTGCCTGTAATTTCAGTATTTTATATCTTGAGAGAAAACAATTCCAAATTTAAAGTAAATAAATTTCATTAGCCATTATTAATATTTGAGAGCAATTTTTTAATAAGTTGAAGGGGGGAGGGAGTTAAAGAAGGAATCGGTTTCATTTCGATCCATGCAAATAAGAAAAAATATTCATTGTCATAATTAATCTTAAAAGATTATTTACACTGCACAGTGAAATAAAACATTTTTTCTTTACTTATTTTTTCTGTTAAATATATCAATAATTTGTCCGTATCGATCTTTCCGATCTTCCAGTCTGGTACATTCATTCATTTCTCAAACTAATTTAGCTCTTTTTATTTATTTTGGCAGTTCGTTCCATAGTTGAACTGCATGATTAGAGAAAAATCTTTTCTCATCTCTGTATTGGATAGTTTTCTTTTAATGTTCAAGGGATTCACTAAAAGCCGTGTGTTACTCTCTCTCCTCTGTCTTGTACAAACTCTACAGCCAACTTTATCAATCTCGTGTACAATTTCGAAAGTCTCGACCATGATACCATTTGTGAACATTCCCTTTAATAGAGTTTTAAATAGATCGGTTGCCTGGGCTGGATCGACGGATACCGGTAAACCAGGTGAACCACCTGAACCACAGCAACGGGGAGGAGAACGGAGAGAGAGATATCCAGGAGAAGCTGGAGGAGCTCAAGGAGGAGAGGAGCAGTGAGAGGAGATGTGAGATCATGGATCAGTTAGTTCAACTTCTTATACAGGTTAGTAACCAGAGCTGGGATACTCATAATCCTGATCGCTTAATCTCAATATCCACTGGGGGTACTTTTAATTTGAGGATCTCTTCATTTCAGTAATTCCTTCAGTTTACGATTACTAATTACCATTATTTCGAATAAAGATTAAATTGATCTGCAGGTTAACAAAAGATCAAGATCTAGCATTGATCTCGATATTTCGAATAGAATTGAGTTCTCCGCTCAGATGATTTACCAAACCAGACAGGAAATAAAAGGACTATTTAAAGATTATTCAAGAAAATATATACCCCGGATAATTTGATTTGATAAAGAAGAGCAAGCTATTCGTATTTTAAGTATTAAAAATGTATTGATTGTTAAATATTTATTAGGAGCAAACTGATGGTGAGGAGGCCCGACAAGTCGCTGAAAAACTTTCAGATATTTTGAAAGATCAGTTCGAGGGGAAAATATTCCCCGAGGTTCCGACCTCGGAGAATATCGAGGATTCTATCGGTCAACCTCTGTTTGTTGTGTTCAGAACACTGTGTGAGATTAGTGAGATAGATCCTAACCGTCAACCCATACTCGCAGGAATATTTATCAATAGTTAGAGGGAGAAATCTTTATTTTGTATTGATTGACTGTATTTTTCAATAGTTAAAGTGACGGGGGACATCTTGTTTATTTTGTATTGATTGATTGTATTTATCAATAGTTAGAGGGAGGGGGGACATCTTGTTCATTTTATATTGATTGACTGAATTCATTAATAGTTAGAGGGAGGGGAGACATTTTGTTTATTTTGTATTTAGGTAAGGGGGAAATCTGGTTTATTTGTATTTAGGGGGAGAAGAAATCTGGTTTATTTTTTACTGAGGGAGGGGAGAAATCTGGTTTATTTTATACTAGCTGGAGGGCCCGGTCTTGCCCATGGAAAAAGAGAACATTTTTGAACAAAAAAAAATTCTAATTATTTTTAGCCTTTAACACCCCCCGGCCACCCATGAGTGTCCTCAAAAAATTTCAGCCCAATCGGTATAGCCGTTTGGCCAGCTATACGCAACATATATATTAATATCTTGTTTTATTATATATAGATAGAGGGAGGGAAAAGTCTGGATTTTATTGTACTGAGGGCGGGGATAAATCTTGTATCCTTTGTATAGGGGGTGGGGAGAGAACATTTTTACTAGTAGCTTAAAAACCGACTTGAAGTATGGAAGTTGGACGTACTTTGAAGTCTGATTTGTTATTATTTGAAATGGGTCTGTTTACACTGCACAATTTCTGTGTTTCTGTAATAAAAAAAGCTCGAGTCTAACAGTTGTTTTTCTATTAAACCCTTTTATGGGTCTTACTGTATAATACAGCGTTGATAAATGTTTGTTGTACAGTACTGGCTGAACTGTACGGTCTACAACCTCGCCTTGGATATTACCTTCTGTATTTTCTGAAATCCTACAATAAACTAGACTACAAAGCTAAAGCTAATCTATATAAGGTATGTATACAATTAAACAAAATACAAAAAAATTAGAGTTAGGAAACTTTGTATGAGACAGCGCTAACCTAATACGTCTTATTTCGATGCCACAGCAGAAATTTTTATTTTGAACTGATTTAGTGTTTAATCCGCAAAAAACAGCTGACACTTGAAATATCCCATAAGCCGAGAAACGAATTCTGATGGTTTAAGATTAAATAGAATTAACTTTAAAATAAGGATTTATAGAGGACGGGAGTCAAACTCTAATGAAACGCATAAAGTAACTTCCAGTATATATATTTCTTATAACTTACTACTAGAGGGTTCAGAACATGAGTTAAAATCGATATCACACGTGTAGATGTTTCAATACAATGCCCCGCATCCGTTCTATCTCATTCCGTTGAATCTTGTGGGATTTGTTTAATGCGGCCAGGCATCGTCTTTCACAGATTAATATTTTCTCAAAAGATTAAAAGTATAAAAGCTTCGACCTCAGCTTATTTTAATCAGAAGCTAAATTCCTCATGTTTTTTTTTGAAGGAAAAATTATGTAGAATTGATAATCATTTTACAGGGTTACCCACGAAAAATGAGACTGTAAAGACGATCGGAAACTCTTAAAATATCTCAAGGTTGAATTAAGTCTTTGCTTGAAATAAAGTAATTCCATGAATTATTTGTCGATTTCACTTGCAGGGAATCATCAATATGAGGAAACAGTCAATAAAATTTCCTTACAGTCGTCTCTGAAGTTTCATCTTTTGTGGGTAACCCTGTATCTCTTACTGAATGGAATAAATTCAACTAAATATGTTCATTCAGGACCTGTGCGAGGCTATTGATGACAACAACAGCTTGGATATTTGCCTTGTTAACGATATGAGACAATGTCAGGAACGTTTATACAATCATATTAGATTTGAAAATCATGTTATTTTAGACATTTATTTGGTCTATTTACCACAGATTGCGTTTTTATACTTCTTGCAGCCATAAGGAAGGCCAAAAAACGAAACCACGTAATTTCTTTGGCATTCTGCGACATTGCCAAGGCTTATGACTCAGTGAACAGGGAATTACTATACACTAAATTGGATGCAGTAGGTTTTGGTGGAAGAGTTAAATCAATCATCCAAACCATGTACTACAATGACTCTGTACAAGTCCGAATTGGGAGTGGTTTGTCTTCCCCATTGTGGTTCACTGGGGAGTAAAACAGGGTTGTGTATTGTCACCACTTTTATTTGCTTTGTACCTGTCGGGGTTAGGTAAAGTCCTTCACGCAATGAAGGAGGGAATTAATTTCGAAGGGGTAATAATATCAGCCCTCATGTTTGCGGACGATTTAGTCCTCATTTCTAGAACAAGGATACGTGGCATGAATAGACTTTTGCGTGCTGTACATAAATTTTGTCAAGACATGCATATGAAGTTATCTGTTGATAAAACAGTCATGCTGTCGACAGGAACAGGAAATACGTCCTGGAAGATTTCAGATTCAGAGCCTATTTTGGAATCAGCTCTTGTAGCTAAGTACCTGGGAGTGGAGGTAGGCATGAAAGGAAGAAACTTGGTCAAAGCTCGGGAAGCCAAAATGATACAAACGGCTCGAGCTTACGCTCATACTATCATGGGGTGTACTAGGGTTGGTCTGGACAGATCCTTGACGGCAAGTACTCTATGGGAGTCATGCGCCATACCAGCTATCCTATACGCTACTGAGGCCATGGTGATCACAAAGGCAACTATATCCGAGCTTGATAAGATCCAAGGAGCTGTAGCAAGGTTCGTCTTGCAGCTCCCATCTTCGGCTTCCAAAGTTTCAGCCTATTTGGATGCAGGCATGAAACCTTTCGGCCTCAGACTAATGGCCAGGCAGCTTTTGTTTCTCCACGCTGCTACTAGACCTAGGAACGACAAGCTAGTCCGTATGGTTGTTGAATCAATCCTCGCAGACGGATCTGACCCCTGGACAGCTCAGGTACAGGAAGGAATTAATAACCTCCCCGTCCGGAGCTTCTTTTCAACTAACAGGAGAATAATCAAGGAGGCCATCAAGCAGTACCAAGTCAACACAGTACGATCCGTGAAGGGAGGTTTCAGTAGCCTGGCATGGATGAGTGAGCCGGTCAGATGGTTCACACTACAGCCGCATGTGAATGACTCTCAGGAAAGCAGAACCATTAACAGGTTCCGGGCTGCAGATGTAGGACTAGGAAACAGACGTCCAAACTCTTGGGGTTTCCAATATGCAAACTGCCCACTTTGTGAAGAGGATGGGAATGTGTTCGTTCTCAACGAACTACATGTTATTCTGTGCTGTCCTTCCGTTGGATTTGAACGATGGACTAGAGATATAGACAAGTACATTGGGGAATGCAATGTACGAGGCCTTTACTCTCCAGGAGAAATTATGAAAGATTTTTTGGGGGGTGATGGTGCTAACAATGTTACATACAATGATGGGCAGGGCAAAGGACCTGAAATGCCTACTGGATGCATGGTTATGTTTGGTAGCTCCAACTTAAAAGGTAATGTCAGGTAGCCTAGTACTTCCCTGGTAGGCTGTGGTAAGATACACCTCTGGACTCTGATCCTGCCACGCCTCCTGGTAGTATCTCTCCATTATGTGTTTTGGAGGCCGGGGGGGCAGGGCTTAAGCTACTTAACCCCTTGGGCGGTCTGGGTCTCCCATATTGGAGGATTTTCAGATTTAAATCTTTATCTTTATTTATTTTAAATCTCTAACTATAAAACATTATCTTAATTTATTACATTTGTATTTGATTTCTTTTTCATATCAGCTTTGTAAGAAGAAAAAATTATTATTTGAAAAATGTCCACATAATTTCCTACCAGAAAGGAAATTATTGCTGGGAATCTGAGATGCAAGTACGATATGAGACTTTTGGAGTTAAAAACGAGTTTTATCACTTGCATAGACGTGCATAGTGGCATTGGTTTGCTTTATATTTACTTCATGTTTATGCATGCATTCTATGCAGCCGTATATAAACTTTTTTCTTACATAAATCTATGCATCTATGCTATGCATGCATCCTATTCAGCCGTATATTAAGTTTCATATATTCTTATATAAGTCCTTTATGCACAAACCATGCCATATAATATAAACATTTATATCATGAACAATTCCATTTATTATGCATTTAAAACTATGCGACTAAAAGATATTATTCTTCCAATGGTCTTCTATATGATCTTTATTTATTTTCCTATTAGACGCCATTTTGTTCTCTTATTCTTGCTCTCTTTCAGTCCTTTCTTTATATCTTTCTGTCGCTTTTTTCTAATATTAAGAAAATGAATGTATGTCCGTTCTGCAGGAGGATGATGTTAGCTTATTTGTGTACCTTGTTCCTGATATATATACACACTTCCAGAAGGCGGCTATTGGTAACCATTTAATAATTACTACAGTGTTCAGCAATAGTTTTAGTATTTGATGGTTATTATATCGTCAGAACTGACGAGGGTCCACTCAGACCGAAATATATTTTCAATAAAATGAGGAACTAACATCTACTTTATGAGATTTGGTTCATTATCATCATCAAAATTTTGGAGTACTTGATAACTCATTACAATTTACACCAACCAATCTTGAATTATGAAGCCATTTTAGTACCTGATACTGTATTCAAATATATTTCAACCTATTATTTAATCACCATTTCAGCGAACAATTTTGTATTATGCTGACCACGGTATTTAAAAGAAACTATTTTTTGGTTCGATGAAATGTTGAAGTAAACCGTTTAAGATTCGAAAAAAAATGTTTTTTATGTACTGTACTGTACTGTACTGTACTGTACTGTACTGTACTGTACTCTACCGTACTGTACTATACTGCAGGTAATGTTGATTTGCTGTACCTGGTTGTATCCTGTGTAGATGGACGGCAGATACAAACCCTTGTATCTCATATAATTGCCAGGCACTATAAACATTTATGTACTAAGTGTACTGTAATTTTGTAAACAATATGTACAAAAACTTTAATTTTCAATAATTTTGAAGGATAAATATTTTAGATAAATTACAGATCGTCTTCCTCTACTTTAATTTGTTGACCTTTTTATCAGAATACGAACTTTGTCAATAAATTATAAATGTTTAATATCACTGCAGGGATTTCATTATGTTCAAAAAGGACAGTTTCCAGCCAGTGATCAGTGTGAGTCTAACCTGGGAAACATTTGAACAGTACGCGCTCTGGCAACTACTTCTAGGTAACTTTACGTACAGTGTAAACTGTACACTTGTTTACATTGTACAATTTACACGGTACAATGTTAAGGGCATATTTTACGGATCCATTCTTAAGATTAATTCGAAGGTATATGAACGGAAAATAATTTTACCTTAAAGCTTAGTTAAGAAAAGTCTAATATTTGTATAAAGTATCTAATTTATTTCTAATTTTAATCACATGGACAATATGTTCAGAACCTAATTTGTTGTGAAAGCAAAAAAAATATTATTGGAGCATTAAATATTTAAAAATTCCGTTTGTGTAATATAGTAATTTAAATTCACATTTTACCAATCCTAAAATTGTTATGTAATCCAAGTTGGGAGAAAAATGTCTGTTAAAGGATCAAAATCTTGCTGCTAATTTTGACCTGGAGAATAAGCAGGATGGTGAAAAATGTCCTTCACCTCTGCTCTTTCATCCTTCTTTAGTTTTGCATTATGTACAATTGTACAACTGTACAGGGCATGAGATCCCAGTTGACTGTATACTGCCACTAATCCCTCGTCTCAGCTATGTACAGAATGCCGAGGCTCTAACACATTTCATGCATCTTCTACGCAGGTATCTTTTTTAACTTTTCCAACTTAATATTTCAGGTTTTTATATTATCAAGATATTTTTTTAAATAAGAATTAATTTTCAGGATTAAATCATATTATCCTGTTTTCCTAAGAGGAATAAGATTATTTGTTTATTTATTTTAGAAAGGTTTGATTTTCAATGAGTATTGTTATTTTATTTCAGAGAGAAACCCAGTGCCGAGCTTATCAAACATCTGATGTCAAGAGAACCACATCCAGGAGACAGGTAGTAGGAGTAGGAGTTGGAGTAGGAGTTGGAGTTGAAGAGTTGGAGAGTTGAAGAGTTGGAGTTGGAGTAGTAGTAGGAGTAGGAGTAGGAGAAGAAGTAGGAGTAGGAGTAGGAGTAGGTTTACGGAAATGATAAGATGTTATAATGTAAGTTACTAACTAGGCTTCCTACGATTTTAGCTTTTTATTATTGCTCTATCTGCTGCATTTTCTCTTCTGAAACTATCAAACAATAAAATACGTTTAGTGATTTACCTTTTTTTCGTGGATTTTGAAAAATCGAAATTTTTTCTGACTTCATTAACCTTTGTGCAAGGTCTCACACCAAATTCATACAGGATCGGTTCAGCCGTTTTGACGTTTATTGATTGCAATTAAACAAACAACATATCTACAGTCAGAAAAACTGATATGGATTGAAATAGGAGAAGTAACTCAATTGCAGTATAAGTTAGGTAGGTAGCACTAGAAGTAACGGTGGCATGAAGGTGATGTTAGGGTGATATAAGATGTGGTAATTTAGAGAGAAGGAAAATAGGATTTTGAGGTTGTCAGAAAGTAAGTCTATCAGGCTGACAAAATTGAAAAGTAGAATGAAGAAGCTAAAAGATTGACGGCAAATATTTATATCCAGGTTTGTAACTGCTGTGCTGACCAGCTGGCTCTCCCAGCAGTACGAGGATTCTAAAAAGCTTGGAGATCTCATCGGGTCTCAGCTCTGTAAACAGGTATCAAACCAGAATACATAGGTATTTAAAACAACTTTCAGGAGTTTTGATGATCTGGGGAAAAAGAATAAATTTTTTATCCTTTTTGATTATTTTTATTCAAAAGTTTACTTATTTTCCCAAATTCAGCAAACAAAACCCTTAAAAACTTGTTTGCGCTCTGCTCAATAATAAAAAAATATTTCATAGGGGGGGAGGTAATTTTTTTAAAAGAAAAAATACACCCCTAACGTCTAAATAAAAAATTTAATAATTTTTGGGGGTTTTTTTTCTCTAGGCTTCTCCAGCTGGAGGAAAACGGAAGAGAACATCAAACACAAATAAAACCCAGAATAGCTTAGGAAAATATCTTGTCAAAATAACATTTAATTCATTCATTTGTGTTAATTGAATTTTCTCAACAGTCATTGAAAACCCTCCTACACGGTTTTCATTAAAAGTTCTTTAAAAAAGTTCTAAGAAAAAAAATTAATAAAGACGAGATTTATTAAAAGGAACTCTGTCTGAGATGACTCTAGGACACCTCGACATTCTCCGACAAACCTGTAAAAACTACGATCTCTTTAACCTTCGCTCAATACAACGCGCACTCCAAACTGTGCGCAGTCTCTGCACAGAGTTCCAGAAGAAAAAGTTCAGTGATTTATTCGCGCTCGCAGACTCAGAGAGTGAGGAGGATTCAAATCCCAAACATAAATCCTCGAAATCAAAATCTGCGAAATCCCCGGGGAAACCTAAAAAGGCGGCGAGTATTGGAGGCGGGAGCGTAAAGAACAGTGAGACCAGTGGAGAGTCAACAGATTCAGATGATGAACCTCAGCCTCCGAAGGGGAAAGGCCGGCCTCCAAAGGGAAAGAATCAGAGGAAAAGGACGAACAAGGTTAGCTACAAAGAAATGGGAAGTACTGAAGACTCTACAGAGGATGATGACTCCAAGAAGACACCAAAGAAGCGCAAGAAAGCAACCTCTGAAAGTGATTAAGACAGGATTATACTTTTATTCACATATCGATCTGAACATTTGAACAGAATACGAATAAGTTTACTCATTTGAGCTATTGACAAAAAATAGCTTCTTTTTCACGGCTGAATATTGATTTAATATTCTCGGTTTTAAAAAATCCTGTTCCGAGGTTCGGAGCACAAAATCATAAATCAAAATCTCCGGCTTCGGAATTGAAATTTTAAAAAATCAGCCTCTGCAAATATTTTTTCCTGACACTATACAAAAATATTGGTACGATTTATTAAAATGCTTACACAAATGTATTTTTATAGAATATTTTTAGCTGACGCGTTATGAATCTTCATGTTTGTATAAATGTCGTTATGAAATATAGTTTGAATTGAACTATGAAATGTGTAGTTTAAAAAACAGTTTTCTAAAAGTACGTTCTTAATGTCATTATTTTTGATGCTTATACTATGTGTAAACAGTGTACAGAGAAGCAGGGTTGCTCTACTATACATATTATGGTGTTAGCCACTTTCTCAAATGCATTTTCTCAAGGGCGATTTCGCAAGTGACAATTACTTAAGCTGCAATTTCCGAAAGGTTAGGTAAGGGGGACGTAATGGGGGGGATGCGCGCTGCAGCTTGGCTGGTTTAGGGTGTCGAGCGCCGCGGCTATTACAGGCTAGGTGCAGATTGCTACGGCTAGGACAGACTTGGGAAGTTGCACTTTGGGTAATTCCACATTTGGGAAAGTACCTAACATCTCTTAAAGGATGTCTTAGATTTTTTAATTGATTTGAATTTAGAATGAAATGGCAGCACAACTATGTTGGATGAGTTTTCTTTAAGAATTCCGGATTCCATAGTGCTTAGGGAAGTTTTTAAACTGATTGAAACTTGAAAATTGTGCACGAAAAATATATTTATCACGTTTTTTTAAATTTTTTAAATAAAGAGTCAAACATGTGTTCACTGGAATACGATGATTTCCCAGCAAATTAGACAAAGGGAAGGGCAAATATATCGGACATTGCTGGTACAACTTTGTGACCTCGGAGCTCAATTAGTATTTATTTTACGCAAAAGTGGGAGAACAGCAAATTTATCTAGTTACATAAAAGTTGTCAATTTATTTTTGTTTTGTTTTTCTCTTAAACTCCTTCAAAAATAATCTATAATTTTAAAGCATAAAAGATTACTTTAGTACTTTAGTAGTGAATGACAGCTTTAACACCGAAAGTCGAAAGATAAAATTGATACCAGAAAGGGGAACCAAACCTAGATTTCCTGAACCTCGTTATCAATAAATTCAACCTTTAAGAAATTTATCCAGATTCCAGATGATTTTTTTGGCAACTTTTTCTTCTAGTTACAGTTTATTGGATTGGATACAACTTTATCAAATCACCCAACCTCTCGTCTTAACAAGAGAATGGGGCTAAAGTAGAGATTTGTTCATGAAGTCGAACACCACAGGGTGTTCCAATAAACATGCGGTTTGATTTGATTTGATTGCCACCTAACGTAGTGAATTAAAACAAAAATTGTTAAAATATTTAATATCTATCTTATGTCTAATTTATCACCATAGAAAACGAAGATGATTTTGAAGTTGACGAATTTCCATGTATAAATTGGACACCCTGTATAATAAGAACTACAGTATTATCTATACTTTAAACTAAGGAAATGTCTTTTTCATACAAGAATATATTTCTCAATATAATTCTTCTGTTATAAAAAATCAGCATGCTATATGTTTTGGATGTACTGTAGAACCATTACAGGCCATTCCCATTTCCCATGCAGATTGCAGAATACACAATGTTCTCCCTTCAATTAATTAAACAAAGAATATTGCAAAATAAAATACCTTCGGCTTTAGAAATTCGTAGGAGGTCGTCATCAAAGGAACTGTAAACATAATTTTAAGTGGCCGTCATGCAAGAGTGGCATTGCTCGATTCACAAAGGTACCCTCAAAAGCTTTGTCTGATCAAGTATGCATCATGGCATCAAAGTTTATAATTTTGAAAACTGATTATTTTGTTCTTTTTGTACTTATACTTTCTCTGCTTAAGTGACTTGCGAATTTTTACTGCAGGAAAATATATAGAATTTATCAAACAGTTTTAAACCTAGACAAATGACAATATCTTCTACTTTAGTGATCAGATACAGGTTTCTAGGGTACCCCTGGGAATCGGGCATTGCCATCTTTACTTGGAAGATCACTTAAAAGTACGCTTACAGTCCCTTTAAGCTGGGGCAATCTTTGTTAGTAACCTTTTATTACATGTGTACGCTGTCCCGCAAATGGTCTGAAAGATTTATTAACATGTTATTTTTGCAAAAACCCTGGACAACACAATTCTAATTTAGAGGATTGTTAACTGAACACGTAAACTTAAATTCTCCTGTTTGCCTCTAACTCTGTAGTACGGACTCACTAAACATTTCGTCTGGAAAATATATATGGTACAGGGTTACCCACACAGGATAAGACTATGAAGACAACCTAAAAATCCTTAATTCTGACGAATCGAAGCTTTAATTTGGTCTTCGAACTTAAATGTATGCATGTATATGCATGTATTTAATGATTTGGCAAAGTAAAAAGTTTAACGTTCGTGGAACCACAAATGTACAAAAAAGGCTAAATAATTTAATATAGTCGTCTCTGACATCCCATGCTTAACGGGTAACCCTGAAAATTAATATTTTAAGCGAATTAGGATTAAAATATGACATATATATCTATATCTATATGTATAATCATTTCTGTTTGTATGTCCGATCATACCTCAAGAATCCTTTTACCGATTTGCCTCAAATTTTGATTAAGGAACTCGGGAGAACCACGGGAATGTTCCTAATATGGTTTAGAGATTCTAAGTTGAGTAGGTCCACTTTTATGGGTAAAAATAGCTAAAATCGTAATTTACGATTACGCGCGGGTAATCGGTGGTAGTAAGTATAATGAATACCCTGGGGCAACGCCACGGGTTCTCAAGCTTGTATTAATTATAAATATAAAATTTATATGTTTAAATATCTATATATTTTCCAAACAAAATTTTCTATGAGTGCGACCAAACTTTCAATTGGAAATTTAGTTGTGTTTGACTCTTAAAAATCCTTGGTTTTTAACAAATGAAGAAATGGTTTTAAATACATGATATAAATTATTATGTACATATTTGTAAGATAGAAACCTTGTTTTTAAAGAACTATTGAGTAGAACAAAAATATTTTAAATATATAATTTCTAACCAAAATTCAGAGATGTATTCAGGGGGGGCAAGGGGGGGTGCAGAACCACTCTCTGGGTTAGTAAAATCTATGGTTTTCAGAGGGTGTTTGGGCCACAATGAGTACTAAGCATCCCCCCACCCAAGAAAGAAAAAAATTTAAGCCCCCACCCCCTGGTTAAATTCCTCAATACGACCCTGAACCGATTAAATTGGCTTTCTTCTTACAAGAATATCTCAGAAGTCACTAAATCCTTCTGTCTAGTTCAGTGTTCCTCAAGATAACATTTAGTGGAATTCCACATATTTTCCATATTAAGAATTCGAAACAAATTAAACAAAATTAATTTTCTCTCATTTACAAAAAAAAATGATTCATTTAAGCGGAATCATCGTCGGTAAAAGTATGATCAGCTTTAAAAAAATTTTGCACTCATATATTTTTCGAAAAAAAAACCTTGTTTATCTCGGGAGCTTCGCACCCTTCGTAGACTTCTACTTTCTAGTGTTGTTTATCGGTAAGGGTTTCATTTCAAGAAGAAAATCTTGTCATAAGTTACAGATTCGCAATTTTAAATTGTTCATTAAATTCTCTCTTCTTTGCCATATGCTTAATTCCTCTTTATCTATGAATTGTATGTTTGTTTGCCCGTGTTCTAAAGCGTCTGTTTGTTTACCAGATAATATTATTTTGTCTATTCTGTTGTATATATTGGTTTGTGCTAGAAAAAAGGTTGAGCTGAGAGTAGGTATTGGAAAAGGTGGATGGAATGAATGGAATAGTATATACAAACACATCCCTTGAATATATAGATATATAGATATGTGCCTGTGTTTTACAAAATACTCACATATATATATAAATATACAATATATTGTCTTGTTTGTCCTGTTTGTCTTGTTTGTCTTGTTCGTCCTGTTTGTCTTGTTTTTCCTGTTTGTCTTGTTTGTCCTGTTTGTCTTGATTGTCCTGTTTGTCTTGTTTGTCCTGTTTCTCCATTTTTGTTTATTTTTCTGGTTTTTCCAGCTTGTCCTGTTATTCTAGTTTGTCCTATTTGTTCTGTTTCTATGAGGAGATTCGTAAATCTAGATTAATTTGTCCTTATTTACATAAAATGTACCCTTGAACTTGAGCTTTACCTGGAAGCTACTACCCCCCCCCCCCTACCCCATTATTATTGCGCATTCCGCAGTGGTGATATTCTGCATTTGACCGTTTAGAAATTCATTAGAACAAAATTGCGTTTAATTATCAGGAAATTATTAGAGCAGCCCTTAAAGCGTATATTAAGACATGCGTTATAAAGACATTTTGTGATTATCTATCTATCTCTTTACAGTATATATATATCATGTTTGTAGGATTACTAAATTAGTTCTATAACTAAACATACATGATGGAGGATCCTGTATCTTACAAAGGATATTTCAACTCTGACGCACAGGAAGGTCTGCATGAAGTCCGTAGGTTTACGGTGGACAAGGAGAAGAGTAACAGCTTGAAGTTCCTCAAGGAAAAGTTGGCCACCGTCTTTCCTCTGATCAAGGACAAGGAGATCTTCATAACCTGGAGAGATCATGATGGAGATATGATCACTATTAAAAATGATGAAGATCTAATGATTGCTAAAACTGAGATGCAGGGTCATTTGTATAAAATCAATGTTACGATTAAGAACGAGAATAATAAGAAGGAGGGAAAGGGTAAGAAGGAGAGGAAGGAGAAGAAGGAAAGGAAAGATGAACATCCAGGAGTAGTTTGTGATGGTTGCGGAGGCTCTGTTCCAGGATTCAGGTTTAAATGTCTTGTCTGCCAGGACTATGATCTCTGTGAACAATGTGCGGCTAAGGGGCTGCATAAGGAGCACAATCTGGTTAGGTTAGCCTCCTCCCAGCCTGGGGTCGCCCTCAAGAACCTCAACAAGATACTGGAGAGGCTGAATACGGATATGAAGAGCTTGGCTTATGATATGGAAGGAACAACCAGTGTCTATGGACTACCCTGGGGTAGAGGATGTATGACTGGAAGGGGAGGAGGAAGACGGGCAATGCACAGAGGTTTTCCATTGCACAAGGGCCCTTACCCTGTTGGGACCATGATGGAGGGCTGGACGGTCCCTGAAGCTAGGAACAGTGAAAGTTCCTCTGCCTCTTACGAATCCATGTCAACTACTCATTCTCCTGACACTGCTCACAGTGATTTTCATTTTATCAAGCTACCAGAAGCAGAAGTTCATACTGCTCCAGCAGTAGCAGCGGGTTCAGCTCCTAACATGGCAGCAGCAGAGTGTTCAGCTCCTAAAGATGCTCCAGCAGCTACAGTCGAGTGTTTAGCTCCTAAAGATGCTCCAGCAGCTACAGTAGAGTTTTCAGCTCCTAAACATGCTCCAGCAACTACAGTCGAGTTTTCAGCTCCTAAAGATGCTCCATCAGTAGCTACAGTCGAGTTTTCAGCTCCTAAAGATGCTCCAGCAGCTACAGTCGAGTGTTCAGCTCCTAAAGATGCTCCAGCAACTGCGGTCAAGTGCTCTGATGCTAAACTTCAGGCTGCTATTCAAGCTATGATGAAAATGGGTTTCAACAATGAGGGTGGATGGCTGAGTAACCTTCTTCAAGCTAAGAATGGAGATATTGGAAAGGTTTTGGACCTACTTCATCCTGTCAAGAACTAAACTTGACGAGAACTAGTCCTATCAAGAACTGGTCCTGTCAAGAACTAGTCCTTTCAAGAACTGGTCCTGTCAAGAACAAAACCTGTCAAGAATTAGTCCTACCAGGAACTAGTCCTACCAAAGAGCTAAACCTATCACCCACTTCTTCCTTCAATGGTTTGTCAAACCAGATCCAATTTGAGCAGAATTTAAACTTTGTTCGTAGAAATGTTGATAAATAAACTAAACATATTGTTAAATAAATTAGTGTTAATAAAATACTTTTGTTTCATTTAATTATAGTTCTGTTTAATTTCTTATTTAAAATTACAAGCGAGAATGGACAGTATATAGTTTATTGAAAGCGTTTATTTCTTTTGTTTAATACAGAAAACGAAAGAGTTTATTTTAACATAAATTTAGAAAAGTTAATGGTTTGCAAGTAAACTTGTTAGAATCATTGACTTTCATTAAATTTTTCATCTAACCATGATGCAATGGGACAAAAAAAATTTGTAAAATCTTTTTTTAAAAGTAATTTGATGCCAGAGTCTCAGTTTTGAGGTATCGATAGTTTTCTTGGACATTTTAATTTTCGATTTAAAATATCCAATCTAATGAACAACAAAAAACTTTTTTATATTTGTATAAAAAAAATATTGTCAATATAATTTGCTGCGAAATTGAAAGAAAAGGTCTTCGCTTGCACCATTATATCCAAAAAAAATTAATAAATTTTCTCATTTTAAAAATCAGACCAGTTCAGAATTGAGGCTTTGGCAACAACCGGAAAAATCAATAAAAACATTTGCTAAATAGCAACATAAAGTAAAATGATTTAAAATTCCTCTGAGATCAGTTTTGAAGCACACTAATAATATTTGACTCGCATACTATTGTTAATTGATTGATATATTCTGGTGTTCCCTTATATATAATATATATTATAAATATGCAGCCCCTAGGCTATGCTACCAGTAAACAATACATTCAATCAATGCATACCAGCTATAGGAGTTATTACATGATTTGCTTTGTCCGTCTGTGTGCCTGTTTGTTTGTGTCCAATAAACGTGAAAACGGGTAAACCGATCAGGCCCCAACTACATAGAGAAGGTTCTAAATTTTGCCTTGAAAAAATGACAATATTATCATCTATGAAAATAAACATGAAAATTTTTAAAAAATTGTTTTTGGAGAATAACATCAAAAAATGGCAACTTAAGAAGAGCAACAGCTTAAAGCTAAAATTGTTTATACATAAAAGCCAAGTAAATTAAACTAGACAATTGCTGCTTTTGTAAACCCGGTAAAAGCTAAAAAACAAATTTCGAAAAAAAATAATGTAAAATCATGTCAATGGGAGATACTGCGGAGAATGAACCCCTAAAAAAGCACAATTTTACACAAATCAAATGGGACCATAAGTGATCAAAAGAGTTTCTAAGAAGACAAATTAATATTGGTCCAATACTGATTCAAATATCTTCAAAGTATTCGATATTTCGGTTTAAATGTTGGTCTTCTTTAATTTTTATCATCTAAACGCAGGCACGCAATAGACATTCAGTTGGGGGGGGGGGACCCCTCTCATCCTACTAAGCTTTTTACTAGTTCATATTAAGACATTTTTCAATATCTGAATTTTGACCATATTTTTACGATGAAGGAAAATTAAACATTTGCCATAAACCCTACTGTTTTAATCTCTAAAAGTTTAATCTGATGGCGTAAACCCTAATGTTGTAATCCCTAAATATTTTAATCTGATGGCGTAAACCCTAATGTTGTAATCCCTAAATAGTTTAATTTGATGGCGTAAACCCTAATGTTGTAATTCCTAAATATTTTAAACTGATGGCGTAAACCCTAATGTTGTAATTCCTAAATATTTTAACCTTGGCGTAAACCCTAATGTTGTAATCCCTAAATAGTTTAACCTGATGACGTAAACCCTAATGTTGTAATTCCTAAATATTTTAACCTTGGCGTAAACCATGGTCAGATTTAGAGATAGAGTTTTCAAAACATCTTTAAATTATGTTACAATCATGATAAAAAGATTTGGTAATTCGTTTATTAAATGCTCATGTTGGTATTCACTATTTTCTAAAAAATTGACCAAAAATTGTTAAAATTATGGTCTTTTTAGGTTGAAAATAGGAAAAATAATTTTATCTTTGCCTCTTATTCAAAACCCCATAAAGATATATGCTGATCGAAATGTTAAATTTGTTTTTCATGACTTTAAGACAAACGTTTTGAAAATTCTAGCACTACAGCGCATAAAAGCTAAATAACCTACAAATCAAACCAATTTTTGCTTTTGCATTTCTTTTTCATGGATGTATACACATTAGATTTAGTTTTCAATGTGAATTAACCAATGTTTGGTTAGGGAAATACATAAAATGATCAGATTTTTTGTACAATTTGATAAATCTAAAAGATATGTAGATTTATACTTTATATCTAAAACAAAAACATAATCCATGATTACAAGTTTTGTCAAAGTTTTCAAAAGTTTTCTGATAATTTTGATTTATGGGAAAGAAAGGAAATTATTTTCGCTGGACCAATCGATTCTTTCTCATTAGACATTTCTTAAATCTAATTTCTACTCTTACCAAATATCTATTTTATTCGTAAATATCGAACAGCTATAGCATTTTGTTCGAAATTTTCAATAGATTGTTAGGGATGTAAAAATTTGTAAAAAGAACTCAAACATAATTTCGAACATAATGATCAGAATTTCAAGCATAATGTTCATAATTTCAGACATAATGTTCATATTTTAAAACAAAATATTCATAATTTTGAACATAATCTTCATAATTCTGAACAAAATCTTCATAATTTCGAACAAATGTTCATAATTTCGAAAATAATGTTTAAAATTACACAGCTCACCTCCATTAAAGATTTATCCTGATACACAGCTCACCTCCATTTAATGTTTATCCAGTTACACAGCTCACCTCCATTTACTATTTATCCATTTACACAGCTCACTTCCATTCAATATTTATCCATTTACACAGCTCCCCTCCATTCAATATTTATCCATTTACACAACTCACCTCCATTTTATATTAATCCATTTACACAGCTCACCTCCATTCAATATTTATCCATTTACACAGCTCACCTCCATTCGATATTTATTCATTTACACAGCTCACCTTCATTCAATATTTATCCATTTACATAGCTCCCCTCCATTCAATATTTATCCATTTACACAGCTCACCTCCATTCAATATTTATCCATTTACATAGCTCCCCTCCATTCAATATTTATCCATTTACACAGCTCACCTCCATTTTATATTTATCCATTTACACAGCTCACCTCCATTCAATATTTATCCATTTACACAGCTCACCTCTATTTAATATTTATCCATTTGCACAAATCACCTCCATTCGATATTTATTTATTTACACAGCTCACTTCCATTCAATATTTATCTTTCTACTTGAAACAAATTCTAACTGTAAAATAGAAATAGAAACTCTTCAGTTCTCTTTTATAAAATTTTAAAATAATCTTTTCAGTTTCTCTGTATCTCTGTATATCTGTATCCCTATTTCTTTCTGTCTGTATCTCTGTATCCCTGGTTCGCCGTATCTCTGTTTCTCTATTTCTCTGTTTCTCTGTATCTCTGTTTCTCTGTATCTCTGTATCTCTGTTTCTCTGTATCTCTGTTTCTCTGTATCTCTGTTTCTCTGTATATCAGTTTCACTGTATCTATGTTTCTCTGTGTCCCTATTGATCTGTTTCTTTGTTTCTTCTCTGTATTTCTGTTTCTCTGTATTTCTGTTTCTCTGTTTTTCTGTTTCTCTGTATTTCTATTTTTTTGTATTTCTGTTTCGGTGTATCTATGTTTCGCTGTATCTCTGTTTCTCTGTATATCTGTAACTCTGTTTCGCTGTATTTCTGTATCCCTGTATCTCTGTATCTCTGTACCTCTGTTTCTCTGTATCTCTGTATCTCTGTATCTCTGTATCTCTGTATCTCTGTATATCTGTAACTCTGAATCTCTGTATCTCGTTATCTCTGTATCTCTTTATCTCTGTTTCTCTGTCCGATCTAAAACTTGTTTATAAGAAGGAGTATGGCGGTATGAATATTTGTTTAATAAATAAAATAATATTATACAAATTCATCCTTCCAGAGGCCGAATTTAAAGAACTTGAGGCACGGCTTAAATTTGAGACGCGGCTCAAATAGGGTTGGTTCCACTTAAAATTGTATTAAATTTTTCAAGATTCAAGCCAGCGCTCAATTGAAACCGTTTTTTGGCGGATTTGAGACGCGGCTCAAATTTATTAAATTCCAACTCATGTTGTTTGATAATCTTGAAAATATTTGTCTTGAAAATATTATTAGTTCTACAAAGGTCAGAATAGTAAAGTTTTTATTAAACTTAGTTTTCTCAAGTTTGCCAAGTTTGCCACTTCCTTCCTTCCTTCCTTCCTTCCTTCCTTCCTTCCTTGTAGGATAGACGGATTGAGGGTTTATGGATAAATGGAAGGATTTAAGGAGAGAGAGGGAATTGATGGAATGAAGGAAGGATAAAGGGTTGATGGATTAAGAGAGAAAGATGGGATTGATGGCATGAGGGAAGGATAAAGGGTTGATGGATAAATGGAAGGATTGAAGGATAACGATGGATGTGATGAAATGAAGGAAGATTAGAGGGTTGATGGATTAATGGAAGGATAAAAGGAGAAAGGTGAGATTAATGGAAGAAAGGAAGGATGAAGTGTTGATGGATTAAAGGAAGGATTGAAGAAGAAAGGTGGGATTGATGGAATGAAGGAAGGATAAAGGGTTGATGGATTAAAGGAAGGATTGAAGAAGAAAGGTGGGATTGATGGAATGAAGGAAGGTTAAGAGGTTGATGGATTAATGGAAGGATTGAAGGAGAAAGGTTGGAATATTGATGTAATTAAACAAGATTAGAGGGTTGATGGATAGATGAATTGATGAATTGAAGGATCGACGGGATTAAGGATCGAAAGGAAAATAAAGGTTGGATGTATGCCTTTCAAAATAATATATTGGTGCATGTTAAATGAAAAAGATATAGACCGTTGACGTCTGATACTGAATGCTGATGTATGATTTTTTATACATAATGTTTGACGTTTGATGATGATGATGATGATGAAGATAATGATGGTGAAGATGGTGATGATGGTGATGATAATGATGATGTAGATGATGTTTATGATGTTGTTGATGATGATGATGATCAAGAAGGAAGGAATA